TTGTAATTACCAGTTTAACCCTCTGCAGATGTTGCTACCCTAGTGCTGTTGCACCACTCTACTCTGTGCAATCCCCTCAGCCCTGGCTGAATTATAGTACCTAATTAATGTAAACCCATTAGTTCATCTCTGATTACTGATGATTCTTCCCCAACATCACTTTGGTTTTTGATATGAAAGCCCCTTAATTCTGTTTTCAACAATACTTTGGTTTAAAGGGATAGTTCTGGATTTTGGCAATGAAGTCCTTGATCTACTTCCCCAGAGTCATATAAACTTGTGGATACCATTTTTATGTCTCTGTGTCCAGTATGAAGGAAGTTAAGAGGTAGTTTAGTGAGCCAATGCTAACTATCCCTTTAACATGCTCTTGCACCTCTTGAGCACAGTGTTGCAAATTGAGGAGTGTCGTGTGATATTCTGAATAGGCCAGCTCTCACTGCCAGTGGCTGTTCTAATGAAGTCCTCTCTATTCTACAGCGGTTGGGAGATGTGAGGAACAGTCGGAGGGCGACGACATTGAGCAACCTGTGCATCGACACGACCCCCACACCCCCATCTTCAGCATGAATGGGGATATGCCTCATGTTCCCATCACTACTCTTGCTGGGATCGCTAGCCTTACTGACTGTAAGTATTACACTGCCACTCACACATTCACTGATATACAGTGCATTCGGAAAGTATTCAGACCCCCTGACTTTTCCAAAAAAAAAATACGTTACAGCCTTATTCTAAAATGTATTCAATTGTTTTTTCCCCTCATCAATCTACGCACAATACCCCATAATGACAAAGCAAAAACAGGTCTTTAGAAATGTTTGAAAAATTTACTTTGTTGAAGCACCTTTTGCAGCGATTACAGCTTTGAGTCTTCTTGGGTATGACGCTACAAGCTTGGCACACCTGTATTTGGGGAGTTTCTCCCATTTATTCTCTGCAGATCCTCTCAAGGTCTGTCAGATTGGATGGGGAGCGTCACTGCACAGCTATTTTAAGGTCTCTCCAGAGATGTTCGATCGGGTTCAAGTCCGGGCTCTGGCTGGGCCACTCAAGGACATTCAGAGACTTGTCCCGAAGCCACTCCTGCGTTGTCTTGGCTGTGTACTTAGGGTCGTTGTCCTGTTGGAAGGTTAACCTTCGCCCCAGTCTGAGGTCCTGAGCACTCTGCAGCAGGTTTTCAGCAAGGATCTCTCTGTACTTTGCTCTGTTAATCTTTCCCTCGACCCTGACTAGTCAGTCTCCCAGTCCCTGCCGCTGAAAAACATCCCCACAGCATGATGCTGCCACCACCATGCTTCACCGTAGGGATGGTGCCAGGTGTCCTCCAGAGGTGACACTTGGCATTCAGGCCAAAGAGTTCAATCTTGGTTTCATCAGACCAGATAATCTTGTTTCTCATGGTCGCTGAGTCCTTTAGGTGCCTTTTGGCAAACTCCAAGCGGGGTGTCATGTGCCTTTTACTGAGGAGTGGCTTCCGTCTGGTCACTCTACCATAAAGGCCTGATTGGTGGAGTGCTGCAGAGATGGTTGTCCTTCTGGAAGGTTCTCCCATCTCCACAGAGGAACTCTAGAGCTCTGTCAGAGTGACCATCGGGTTCTTGGTCACCTCCCTTTCCAAGGCCCTTCTCCTCCGATTGCTCAGTTTGGCCGGGTGGCCAGCTCTAGGAAGAGTCTTGGTGGTTCCAAACTTCTTACATTTAAGAATGATTGAGGCCACTGTGTTCTTGGGGACCTTCAATGCTGCAGAAATGTTTTGGTACCCTTCCCCAGATCTGTGCCTTGACACAATCCTGTCTCGGAGCTCTACGGACAATTCCTTCGACCTCATGGCTTGGTCTTTGCTCTGACATGCACTGTCAACTGTGAGACCGGTGTGTGCCTTTCCAAATCATGTCCAATCAATTGAATTTACCACAGGTGGACTCCAATCAAGTTGTAGAAACATCTCAAGGATGATCAATGGAAGCAGGATGTACCTGAGCTCTATTTTGAGTCTCATAGCAAAAGGACTGAATACTTTTGTAAATAAGGTATTTCTGTTTTTTATTTTTAATAAATTTGAGAGAAAGAAATTGACCTGTTTCGCTTTGTCATTATGGGGTATTATGTGTAGATTGAGGGGAAAAAATAATTTAATAAATTTTAGAATAAGGCTGCAACGTAACAAAATGTGGAAAAGGTGAAGGGGTCTGAATACTTTCCGAATGCCCTGTAGCTACATTTAATACATTTTTAACAAAGGCTCTTCTTACGGATACCTGGAAAGCAAGTGAAAAGATGATAGCGGGGCCAGGCTATTTTTCAGAACTGAGTCTACTGACATTTAGACCAGCTGCAAGCTTTGATGATACATTGGCAAAGTACATTTATAAACTGGGTGGTTCGAGCCCTGACTGCTGATTGTCCGTGGTATCAGACCGTATACCACGGGAATGACAAAATATTTATTTTTACTGCTCTAATTACGTTGGTATCCAGTTTATAATAGCAATAAGGCTCCTCGGGGTTTGTGATTTTTGGCCAATATACCACGGCTAAGGGCTGTGTCCAGACACTCCGCGTTGCTTCATGCCTAAGAACAGCTCTTAGCTGTGGGATATTGGCCATATACCACATCTCGGGCCTTATTGCTTAAGTATAGCATGGCTTACACTACTTCAAAGGTAACTACGGCATGTTTATCTACAACCTAAAATAGTCTGGTTTCAGGGGAGATCTATTGACAGCATGGGAGTCAATTTGACCATTCTAACAATATTTCTAACGTTGTCAGAATGACATGGCCAATGATGAATAGAGGGGAATCCCAGTTTTCCAACAGTCAGAATTTTCTCATCTACCAATATTGAGCATTTGAGAGGCGGTTTTACAACCGTATTTATCAGTGGTTAATTAACGCACCCGTCTATCAATTTGCGGAAAGGTTTTTTAGGACATCTGACATGAAAATGACATTAATAGATACTAATAATAGCTAAATGGTTAAATATGCCTACCAAGATAACTAGTCAGGCTACATGATATGTTTTGAATTGGCTATCTATTGTTATTAGTCTGTCTTATTATTATATAGGCTACCTGTTTCTACAATGTCTCTCTCTCTCTCTCTCTCCTCGGCACGGGCACATACGCAGATTCACACACCATGATTTTTCCGGGATTTTCATGATCATACGAACTCTGTCTGCTGACCAAAAATAAGCTAGAACTGGGAAAATAACTCACTTCTATCACAGAATATCAACGTGCACACGCGGCTTTGCTTTTAGTGATTTTTTTTTTTACTTGTCCATTCTAACAACTTAAAATGATATTCTTCTTGTCTGACAATTTGTTTTACTTGTCCCGCCCTGTATAGTATGCAAAGTTATAGTATACAAAGCGGTTTTCAAAATGTATACAATCCTCAAAAAAAAAGTTGGGACCATTTGGCTTGCTTTATGGTCAGTGCTGCCAGTCGCAAAGCTAATTTCTTGGTATTTAGATTATTAATTTACTAAATTGGCAAGATTGAGCTGGTTTGATTGCTCCTGTGTTTCCTGTTGTAATAAAACATGAATGTACTCTACATGAATATTGCAGTCTTGATATTTAGGACACACTGTTATTGATGGTACTTTTCTATAGCCTTTGCTTTAGAGTTGCATGGGTAATGTGATGTATAGTGCTGGTAGAAAGTATCCACCTGTGCACATTTTGTTGCCTTAGTGCCTGGACTTTCAATGCAATAAATTACACAGTGGCCAAGTGTTGGCAATTTGTCTTGGTTACAATTTTCAGGCAAATGTTCTGTGCATGTGCACGTGTGCCGCGCGTTTTTTAAAATGTTTGTGGCAGGTATCCTGAGCTTGACAATTCACAAATATAAACAAGCTTAGTTATCCAATAGCTTAGGTAGCTTGAATACAAATATGACCTCTGACGAAGAGCCATGAGGCTGAAACGTTGGCACAAAATAAACAAGTGACTTTGCAAGTACAGTGTGTGAGAAAATATTTTCTTTGGAATTATTATTCAACATTTCCTATCCACCTGCTAAGCAATCCCTAGATGTGCATTTCACTTTTACAGGGGTCGCGTTAGTTCAGAAATCAATAAAATGCCCATTCGTGAATTCTCATCCGTGTGGAGAAGTGCAACTGAAGCACAAAATTAGTATGATGTCGAGCAGAAATTACAATAAGAAGCATTTTAGATCTACGTTTACAAAACACAGCAAGATATTTCTTATGCGTTTTTTATATATTTCTTTCTGCGTGGAAAAACGCATAATTCTGCGTTAACGCAACCCCTTCTTGTAGGTTATTGTCCTGCCAAAAGGTGCATTTCTCTCCAGGTGTAAGGTCTTTAGCAGATGGAAGCAGGATTTCCTCTATTATTGTTCATGCTTAAAACTATGGATGGTTTTATGCATTGATGGGTAGTATTGAATTTACCCCTAACTTAATACTTTGCATTTAAGTTATACAATGTATGTGTTTGAAATTTTATTTGGAAGGAGGCTTTTCAGTATAGGCTTCCTTATTGTCACTCAAGCCAATATCGGGGAGCAGCTTGGATGTTGATCCATCCATCCACTATTTTTCCCATCTCAGCGATTTAACCCTGTAGGTGTTTTATTAGTCACCCAGCCACCCATCAGGCTAAAGCGCTTATCAGAGTCCAAAACATCTATGCGTCTGCACAATAGTTTTCTAGAATATTGGACCATTGGCTTTCATACTTTTCGAATTCTCAGCACAGCTCAAGCAATTGCTCCAACCGTCGCCACATTCAAATCAATAGGAGCCGCGTACGCGGAGCCGCATTGGTTGGGAATTTTAGGGGGGTGCGCGGAGGGGGCTGTACGCGGACGGTGGTCTCTGAGCTTTGTCACAATGGGCTGCCGGACTATCAAGGCTCTGGCCTCTGAATTACACTTAACCGGTCTGCTCTTCCTCTTTGCAGTGTTAAACCAGCTGCCCCTGCCATCCCCTCTCCCCGCCACCACCACTAAGAGTCTGCTGTACAATGGGAGGATCGCGGAGGAGGTCAACTGTCTGCTGGCCTGCCGGGATGAGAACCTGGTGTCCCAGCTGGCTCACAGCCTCAACCAGGTTTCCACAGAGCACATGTGAGTACCTCACCACCCCACACCTTTCAACGCTAGTGGTCACAACAGCTGATAAGAGAGAGTGTGAACAGTTCTCTCTTATTATGTGCCACAGTTGCATTAGTTGATTCCCCCCCCCCTCCCATTGCAGAGAGCTGAAGGACAACCTGGGCAGTGATGACCCGGAGGGAGACGTGCCTGTGCTGCTGCAGACAGTGCTGTCTAGGAACCCCAACATCTTCAGGGAGAAAAGTAAGTTAGCCCGATTCAGGGTGATAAGGAGAGAGTGCCTCTGACTCTGTATTGGAGCACAGTGTATGGCCTAACACAGTGCTGACTGTGTCCCTACTTCTTAGGGCCTTGATTTGTTGTCCTAAAAACATTTCCTGGGTCTAATGCGTTTTGTGAGTCAAAACCGCTTCTTGAGGCGTTGCAAGGCAAGCTTTGCTGTCTTTATGATTTTTTTAGTTGGCGCCGTACTTGTAGCTTGAAAAGAGCTTGTGGTGGATTTAGTTGGCATCTTGATTGCCTTGAGTATACTTGATAGACATTTAATTGCTTTGTGATATATAGCACTGTTGGACAATAGGGTTGGACGATGTCAACCTTTATCCTATCGTGATTATGTACTCATAAAACATTGTGATACACAATGGTATGGCCCCCTATTGGCCAACCAGAATGTATATAAAATATAAGAAACATCTGCTAAAACCACCATTGGGCTAATAGCGTGAAATCGCATGCTACTATTTAGGGCTGGGAATTGCCAGGGACCTCACGACACGATATTATCATGATACTTAGATGCCAATATGTATTGCAATTCTCATGATTCTATATGTATTGCGGTTTTATAGTGATTTGATGTTGCAAACATATTGTTAACTATATGTCTGCTGCAGAGAGACGAGAGAGCATGAGAAAATGTGTTTTGGTCATGGAAATTAATGTCCTGAAAACATGTTGGCTCATTTTTTAAGAAGATGGAGAAAAAGCTATAGGATGAAAAATAGTTTTAGTGCAGGTACAGCCGACTAGCGCTAGCTAACGCTACCAAGTAAAACAAATTATATTTATATATATATATATATATATATATATATATTATTTTTTACAGTATTGATATAATGTTTTTTTGCCCCATCACTACTACAACTGGAAGAATCATAATGAAATATAATGTTGTTGAAAGGCAGAGGCACATGATGGAGCAAAGTGACAGTCAACTGATGAGGAACGGACTGTCTTACCGTAGTGAGTTAGGTTATAAATCTTAGGCTGGATAGAAGCAAAGTCTACCATCTTCAGATCTAGATAATAATTGCTTTATTTGCCTCATCCTCCTCTCTTAAAGGATAGGTAGCATAAACGTAACATATGGATTTGTATTTGTATACACATCAAAAGTCCCAATGCAAAGTTACACCTCACTTTTCAATTTATCGAGTTATGACATAAAACCGATCAGAATTCCGAAGACATGTCGGAAAATGTTTTTCCAGGGTGTGATGTCAGTGAGGGAAATCGTGGTCCTCTGTAGCTCAGCTGGTAGAGCACGGCGCTTGTAACGCCAAGGTAGTGGGTTCGATCCCCGGGACCACCCATACACAAAAAAATAATAATTATGCACGCATGACTGTAAGTCGCTTTGGATAAAAGCGTCTGCTAAATGGCATATTATTATTATTATATTATAAATCATATAGCTATAGCGAGAAAAATCCAAAATAGATTTGATGTCACCTAGCGCACTAGGCCAAGGTGGAAAATGTTACAAAACTTGCATAGCCTACTTCACAGAGAACATGTCAAAAAGTTGACAAAACAAAAAGGAAAACAGACGAGGTACTACATACACAGTTAGAGCAAGCAGGTATGATTTTCTCTTTTGTTTTGAGCCCACGGCAAGAAGGCACCAGAGCCTGCCGTGCTAACGGGTTCCCACTAGATAACACAGGCACAAAGTCTGTGAAGAGCATGAGAATGCTAATGTTAGCTAGCTTGAGCTAGTTACTAAGCTAGCATACAAACTAACATATGACGTTGAAAAATAGTGCATTGTGGGTAGTTCAGAAGATATCCAGAAATAAGTTAATAAAAATCGAATAACCCAAAAACATAACTATGTTTGTAGTTATAGGTAACCAGATCACGACTACAACTAAGTTACTACGTCTTTGACCACACTCTGTGCTATTGTTTGTTCTACCTCTCATAAAGCTGTGATTGAGAATAGCCTAGGCCTATAGACTCCGACTTTCGTTCTTGTTCTTTTTGAAAGTGGCAACTTTAGGACAACAGTACCTTCTTAGGCTATTAGAATTTTTGGGTAATAGGCTACTGTTCATAACTTTCATTTGTCCTAAAGCTTTTATGATAGGCCTAGTAGGAGGCAGTAGAGGCTGCTGATGGGAGGACGGCTCATAATACTGGCCGGAACGGCGTAAATGGAATGGCATCAAACACATGGAAACCATGTTTGATGTATTTGATACGATTCCACCTATTCCGCTCCAGCCATTACCACGAGCCCGTCCTCCCCAATTAAGGTGCCACCAACCTCCTGTGGTAGAAGGATAGGTTATCAGCCTACGATTTTTTTAAACAGCTAGACACAAGATAGTTAAGGAGTGTCCGTAAAAAAGAAATGAATAGCCTAGCTTTACGCTATAGGCAAAGGCCCATGCATCCAACATTAGAGAGGGAAACAATATTTTTTTGTGCTGCTTTGGTGGAATTCTCTGCTCTGTCTACTAGACATGAAAGAGTAGGCTATATTCCTTGGCCAATTCAAATCAAATGGGGTTTGGGACAAAAAGGGAAATTAAGCTTTTAAAATAACAAGCCAGAGAACAGACTGTCCACTGCAAAAGGCCCGTCATCGTCCAACATTGGAGAGGTGAGAGCGAGAGAGAAAAAAGGGCATTTCCATCGAAAAGGACCCATGAGCAGCAACATGTGAAGTTCATAGGAGCATACCAAATTGGGTGTCAAATGAAAGCTAAGAGTCTATATTTTGGGGAAATTAAGGCATAGATAAATGTTTTAATCATTTTCCATCTTGGCATAAGTAAAGGCTTTGATTTCTGGATAAACAGATGAAAAAGGGGTCTTAGAAAACATCTACCAGAAAATGTATTAAAAGGTATCACAAATACATCAAAACACAATGATGTTGACATAAAGACCCCTGCCAACTAATATCAACACATATTTAGTTTTGGAGAAATTGTTTAAGTGTAAGTTTAAAGCTGCAATATGTCACTTTTTGGGTGACCCGACCAAATTCATTTATCTTTAAGATATTTTCTAATTTCTCTCCCTCATGAGGAGGGAGGATAATGAAGTAAAAAGTAATGGTAGACCTACCGATTACTGATATCATTTTTGTTTAGGAATTATTAAGTGATTCTAACTCCCACAGTTGATTTCTTCAAACCAAGCTGCTTACCTATTGCAGATTCAGTCTTCCCAGCCTGGTGCAGGTCTACAATTTTGTTTCTGGTGTCCTTTGACAGCTCTTTGGTCTTGGCCATAGTGGAGTTTGGAGTGTGACTGTTTGAGGTTGTGGACAGGTGTCTTTTTATACTGATAACAAGTTCAAACAGGTGCCATTAATACAGGTAACGAGTGGAGGACAGAGGAGCCTCTTAAAGAAGAAGTTACAGGTCTGTGAGAGCCAGAAATCTTGCTTGTTTGTAGGTGACCAAATACTTATTTTCCACCATAATTTGCAAATAAATTCATTAAAAATCCTACAATGTGATTTTCTGGATTTGTTTCTTCTCAATTTGTCTGTCATAGTTGACGTGTACCTATAATGAAAATTACAGGCCTCTCATCTTTTTAAGTGGGAGAACTTGCACAATTGGTGGCTGACTAAATACTTTTTTCCCCCACTGTATATGACAAGGGAACATTCCCACCTCTTTCATTGTCAATAATAACATTTTGCCAATATTCTTGATGAAGAATTGTTAGTAAGCTCACTGGTTTGAGACCACAAAAATAGCACTGCTAATAGCTCAATACTGGCGCCGACGAAGATGGCGGCCTCGCGACTAGCTCTTAGGAAACTTTGCAGTATTTAGTTTTTTTATGTATTTTTTTTAACATTATTAGCTCAAAGTGTTTTGCATCATTACATACAGCCGGGAAAAACTATTGGATATCAGAGCGGCGGTAACTCACCAGCATTACGTCCAGGAATACGACTTTCCCGAAGCAGATCCTTTGTTTGCTCTCCCCAGGGCAACTGAACTGATTCCAGCGGCTGACCCAAAACATCGCCGGCGGAGGAGAGGCACTCGGAGCGGCCTGCTGGTCCGACTTTGGATGCGCGCACACCACCCACCGCTTCCAAGTATCCTACTCGCTAATGTTCAATCTTTGGTTAACAAAGTCGACAAACTATGGGCAAGGATTTCTTTCCAGAGAGACATCAAGGCCTGTAACATACTCTGTTTCACGGAAACATGGCTCTCTTGGGATATTCTGTCGGAATCGGTCCAGCCAGATGGGTTCTCAGTTCATTGCGCAGACAGGAATAAATATCTCTCCGGGAAGCAGAAGGGCGGAGGTGTGTGATTTCATGATTAACAACTTGTGGTGTAATTGTGGTAACATAGAGGAACTCGAGTCCTTCTGTTCACCTGACCTAGAATATCTCACAATCAAATGCCGACCGTATTATCTCCCAAGAGAATTTTCTTCGGTTATAGTCACGGCCGTGTATATCCCCCCTCAAGCCGATACCACGACGGCCCTCAAAGAACTTCACTGGACCTTATGCAAACTGGAAACCACATATCCTGAGGCTGCATTTATTGTAGCCAGGGATTTTAATAAAGCAAATTTGAGGACTAGGCTGCCGAAGTTCTATCAACATATCGACTGTTGTACTCGGGCTGCTAAAATCCTCGACCATTGCTATTCAAACTTCCGGGATGGTTAAAAGGAACTCCCCAGCCCTCCTTTCGGCAAATCTGACCACGACTCCATTTTGCTTCTCCCTTCCTATAGGCAGAAACTCAAACAGGAAGTACCCGTGCTAAGGACTATTCAACGCAGGTCTGACCAATCGGAATCCACGCTTCAAGATTGTTTTGATCACGCGGACTGGGATATGTTCCGGGTAGCTTTCGAAAATAATTTTGACATATACACTGAAACAGTGACTGAGTTTATCAGGAAGTGTATAGGTGATGTTGTGCCCACTGTGACTATTAAAACCTACCCTAACCAGAAACCGTGGATAGACGCCAGCATTTGCGCAAATCTGAAAGCGCGAACCACTGCATTCAACCATGGCAAGGTGACTGGGAATATGGCCGAATACAAACAGTGTAGCTACTTACTCCGCAAGGCAATTAAACTGGCAACACATCAGTATAGAGACAAAGTGGAGTGGCAATTCAGCGGCTCAGACACGAGACGTATGTGGCAGGGTCTACAGACAATCACGGACTACAAAAAGAAAACCAGCCACGTCGCCGACACTGATGTCTCGCTTCCAGACAAGCGAAACACCTTCTTCGCCCGCTTTGAGGATAACACTGCCACTGACGAGGCCCGCTACCAAGGACTGTGGCCTCTTCTTCTCCATGGCCGACGTGATTAAGACATTTAATCATGTTAACCCCCGCAAGGCTGCCGGCCCAGACGGCATCCCTAGCCGCATCCTCAGACCATGCGCAGACCAGCTGGCTGGTGTGTTCAGGGACATATTCAATCTCTCCCTTTCCCAGTCTGCTGTCCCCACATGCTTCAAGATGGCCACAATTGTTCCTGTACCCAAGAAAGCAAAGGTAACTGAACTAAATGTCTATCGCCCTGTAGCACTCACCTCTGTCATCATGAAGTGCTTTGAGAGACTAGTCAAGGATCATATCACCTCTACCTTACCTGTCACCCTAGACCCACTTCAATTTGCTTACCGCCCCAATAGATCCACAGACGATGCAATTGCCATCACACTGCACACTGCCCTATCCCATCTGGACAAGAGGAATACCTATGTAAGAATGCTGTTCATTGACTATAGCTCAGCATTCAACACCATAGTACCATCCAAGCTCATCATTAAGCTCGAGGCCCTGGGTCTGAACCCCGCCCTGTGCAACTGGGTCCTGGACTTCCTGACGGGCCGCCCCCAGGTGGTGAAGGTAGTAAACAACATCTCCACTTCGCTGATCCTCAACACTGGGGCCCTACAAGGGTGCGTGCTCAGCCCCCTCCTGTACTCCCTGTTCACCCATGACTGCGTGGCCAAGCACGCCTCCAACTCAATCATCAAGTTTGCAGACGACACAACAGTAGTAGGCTTGATTACCAACAATGATGAGACCGCCTACAGGGAGGAGGTGAGGGCTCTGGGAGTGTGGTGCCAGGAAAATAACCTCTCACTCAACATCAACAAAACAAAGGAGATGATTGTGGACTTCAGGAAACAGCAGAGGGTGCACCCCCCTATCCACATCGACGTGACCGCAGTGGAGAAGGTGGAAAGCTTCAAGTTCCTTGGTGTACACATCACCGACAAACTGAAATGGTCCACCCACGCAGACAGTGTGGTGAAGAAGGCACAACAGAGCCTCTTCAACCTCAGGAGGCTGAAGAAATGTGGCTTATCACCTAAAACCCTCACAAACCTTTACAGATGCACAATTGAGAGCATCCTGTCGGGCTGTATCACCGCCTGGTACGGCAACTGCACCGCCCATAACCGCAGGGCTCTCCAGAGGGTGGTGCGGTCTGCCGAACGCATTACTGGGGGCAAACTTCCCGCCCTCCAAGGCACATACAGCACCCGATGTCACAGGAAGGCCAAAAAGATAATCAAGGACATCAACCACCCGAGCCACTGGCTGTTCACCCCGCTATCATCCAGAAGGCGAGCTCAGTACAGGTGCATCAAAGCTGGGACCGAGAGAATGAAAAACAGCTTCTATCTCAAGGCCATCAGACTGTTAAATAGCCATCACTAGCACATTAGAGGCTGCTGCTGCCTATTGAAATCACTGGCCACTTTAAGAAATGGAACACTAGTCACTTTAATAATGTTTACATATCTTGCACTACTCATCTCATATGTACAGTTGAAGTCGAAAGTTTACATACACTTAGGTTGGAGTAATTAAAACTTGTTTTTCAACCACTCCACAAATTTCTTGTTAACAAACTATAGTTTTGGCAAGTCGGTTAGGTAATTTTTCCAACAATTGTTTACAGACAGATTATTTCACTTATAATTCACTGTATCACAATTCCAGTGGGTCAGAAGTTTACATACACTAAGTTGACTGTGCCTTTAAACAGCTTGGAAAATTCCAGAAAATAATGTCATGGCTTTAGAAGCTTCTGATAGGCTAATTGACATCATTTGAGTCAATTGGAGGTGTATCTGTGGATTTATTTCAAGGCCTACCTTCAAACTCAGTGCCTCTTTGCTTGACATCATGGGAAAATCAAAAGAAATCAGCCAAGACCTCAGAAAAATAATTATAGACCTCCACAAGTCTGGTTCATCCTTGGGAGCAATTTCCAAATGCCTGAAGGTACCACGTTCATCTGTACAAACAATAGTACGCAAGTATAAACACCATGGGACCACGCAGCCGTCATACCGCTCAGGAAGGAGACGCGTTCTGTCTCCTAGAGATGAACGTATTTTGGTGCGAAAAGTGAAAATCTATCCCAGAACAACAGCAAAGGACCTTGTGAAGATGCTGGAGGAAACAGGTACAAAAGTATCTACAGTGGGGAGAACAAGTATTTGATACACTGCCGATTTTGCAGGTTTTCCTACTTACAAAGCATGTAGAGGTCTGTAATTTTTATCATAGGTACACTTAAACTGTGAGAGACGGAATCTAAAACAAAAATCCAGAAAATCACATTGTATGATTTATAAGTAATTAATTTGCATTTTATTGCATGACATAAGTATTTGATACATCAGAAAAGCAGAACTTAATATTTGGTACAGAAACCTTTGTTTGCAATTACAGAGATCATACGTTTCCTGTAGGTCTTGAACAGGGATTTTGGCCCACTCCTCCATACAGACCTTCTCCAGATCCTTCAGGTTTCGGGGCTGTCGCTGGGCAATACAGACTTTCAGCTCCCTCCAAAGATGTTCTATTGGGTTCAGGTCTGGAGACTGGCTAGGCCACTCCAGGACCTTGAGATGCTTCTTACGGAGCCACTCCTTAGTTGCCCTGGCTATGTGTTTCGGGTCGTTGTCATGCTGGAAGACCCAGCCACGACCCATCTTCAATGCTCTTACTGAGGGAAGGAGGTTGTTGGCCACACATGGCTCCATCCATCCTCCCCTCAATACGGTGCAGTCGTCCTGTCCCCTTTGCAGAAAAGCATCCCCAAAGAATGATGTTTCCACCTCCATGCTTCACGGTTGGGATGGTGTTCTTGGGGTTGTACTCATCCTTATTCTTCCTCCAAACACGGCGAGTGGAGTTTAGACCAAAAAGCTCTATTTTTGTCTCATCAGACCACATGACCTTCTCCCATTCCTCCTCTGGATCATCCAGATGGTCATTGGCAAACTTCAGACGGGCCTGGACATGCGCTGGCTTGAGCAGGGGGACCTTGCGTGCGCTGCAGGATTTTAATCCATGACGGCGTAGTGTGTTACTAATGGTTTTCTTTGAGACTGTGGTCCCAGCTCTCTTCAGGTCATTGACCAGGTCCTGCCGTGTAGTTCTGGGCTGATCCCTCACCATCCTCATGATCATTGATGCCCCACGAGGTGAGATCTTGCATGGAGCCCCAGACTGAGGGTGATTGACCGTCATCTTGAACTTCTTCCATTTTCTAATAATTGCGCCAACAGTTGTTGCCTTCTCACCAGGCTGCTTGCCTATTGTCCTGTAGCCCATCCCAGCCTTGTGCAGGTCTACAATTTTATCCCTGATGTCCTTACACAGCTCTCTGGTCTTGGCCATTGTGGAGAGGTTGGAGTCTGTTTGATTGAGTGTGTGGACAGGTGTCTTTTATACAGGTAACGAGTTCAAACAGGTGCAGTTAATACAGGTAATGAGTGGAGAACAGGAGGGCTTCTTAAAGAAAAACGAACAGGTCTGTGAGATCCGGAATTCTTACTGGTTGGTAGGTGATCAAATACTTATGTCATGCAATAAAATGGTAATTAAATACTTAAAAATCAAACAATGTCATTTTCTGGATTTTTGTTTTAGATTCAGTCTCTCACAGTTGAAGTGTACCTATGATAAAAAGTAAAGACCTCTACGTGCTTTGTAAGTAGGAAAACCTGCAAAATCGGCAGTGTATCAAATACTTGTTCTCCCCACTGTATATCCACAGTAAAACAAGTCCTATATCGACAGAACCTGAAAGGCCGCTCAGCAAGGAAGAAGCCACTGCTCCAAAACCGCCATAAAAAAGCCAGACTATGCTTTGCAACTGCACATGGGGACAAAGATCGCAGTTTTTGGAGGAATGTCCTCTGGTCTGATGAAACAAAAATAGAACTGTTTGGCCATAATGACCATCGTTGTGTTTGGAGGAAAAAGGGGATAGCTTGCAAGCCGAAAAACACCATCCCAACCGTGATGCACGGGGGTGTCAGCATCATGCTGTGGGGGTGCTTTGCTTCAGGAGGGACTGGTGCACTTCACAAAATAGATGGCATCATGAGGAAGGAAAATTATGTGGATATATTGAAGCAACATCTCAAGACATCAGTCAGGAAGTTAAAGCTTGGTCGTAAATGGGTCTTCCAAATGGACAATGACCCCAAGCATACTTCCAAAGTTGTGGCAAAATGACTTAAGGACAACAAAGTCAAGGTATTGGAGTGGCCACCACAAAGCCCTGACCTCAATCCTATAGAAAATTTGTGGGCAGAACTGAAAAAGCGTGTGCGAGCAAGGATAGATACTTTTTGTAATGGGGCGGCGGGTAGCTTAGTTGTTAAGAGCGTTGTGCCAGTAACCGAAAGGTCGCTGGTTCTAATCCCCAAGCCGACTAGGTGAAAAATCTGTCTGTGCCCTTGAGCAAGGCACTTAACCCTAATTGCTCCTGTAAGTCACTCTGGATAAGAGCGTCTGCTAAATGACCTATTTATTTATTTATTTATTAAGGAGGCCTACAAACTTGACTCAGTTACACCAGCTCTGTCAGGAGGAATGGGCCTAAATTCACCCAACATATTGTGGGAAGCTTGTGGAAGGCTACCCAAAACGATTGACCCAAGTTAAACAATTTGAAGGCAATGCTACCAAATACTAATTGAGTGTATGTAAACTTCTGACCCACTGGGAATGTGATGAAAGAAATAAAAGCTGAAATAAATCATTCTCTCTACTATTATTCTGACATTTCACATTCTTAAAATAAAATGGTGATCCTAACTGACCTAAGACAGGGAATTTTTACTAGGATTAAATGTCAGGAATTGTGAAAAACTGAGTTTAAATGTATTTGGCTAAGGTGTATGTAAACTTCCGACTTCAACTGTATATACTGCATTCTATTCTAAAATATGATTCTGTATCTTAGTCCATGCCGCTCTGCCATTGCTTGTCTATATATGTATATATTATTAAATCCCATTCCTTACTTTTTTGTGTGTATTGGGTATATGTTGTGATATTGTTAGATATTACTGCACTGTCGGAGCTAGAAGCACAAGCATTTAGTTACACCCGCTATAACATCTGCTAAACACGTGTATGTGACAAATACAATTAGATTTGATTTGAAAATACTGTGATTGAATATTTTTTTCTCCAGAAATTACATTATTTGAAAATGTAAGTTCATTATCATTTAAACACACTTTCTACCTGGTTTAAGTTATTTAAGTCCAGGCTGGAGTATTTATTCATTGTAAAAAATATATATATATACAGCTCTGGAAAAAATTAAGAGACCACTGCAATTTTTTATTAAATCAGCATCTCTACATGTATGACAGACATTCCATTCCAGTGTCTGTTGAATTCCAACACAGGCACACCTCATTCTACTGAATTAGGTACTGATTAGGTGATCACCTGAACCAAATCTTATTTAACGAGGAAAAGTATAAAAACCACTGCTGTGGTCATCACTATTCTCTTGCAATAGGACCAGCTGGATGGCAAAAACAGTGCTAAAAGTACCTCAAAAGTAATATTAATACAAAAATAACTATTGACCATGCCAAAAGAGTTGAAAAGGAAAGTTTTAAGTGAGAAAAAGAAGGGTTCAATTCTGGCTTTACTGGCAGAGGGATACAGTGAGCGTCAGGTTGCTTCCATCCTTAAAATTTCAAAGACGGCGGTTCATAAGAACAAGGTCAAGCAGCAGACATTGGGGACAACAAAGCTACAGACCGGCAGAGGGCGAAAATGACTCTCTACTGACCGGGATGACCGCCAACTCATTTGAATGTCACTCAACAACTGTAGGATGACATCAAGTGACCTACAAAAAGAATGGCAAACGGCAGCTGGGGTGAAGTGCACGGCGAGGACGGTTCGAAACAGGCTCCTAGGGGCAGGGCTGAAGTCGTGCAAAGCTAGAAAAAAGCCCTTCATCAATGAGAAGCAAAGAAGAGCCAGGCTGAGGTTTGCAAAAGACCATAAGGATTGGACCGTAGAGGACTGGAGTAAGGTCATCTTCTCTGATGAGTCCAATTTTCAGCTTTGCCCAACACCTGGTTGTCTAATGGTTAGACGGAGACCTGGAGAGGCCTACAAGCCACAGAGTCTCGCACCCACTGTGAAATTTGGTGGAGGATCGGTGATAATCTGGGGGTGCTTCAGCAAGGATGGAATCGGGCAGATTTCTTTGTGAAGGACGCATTAATCAATCCACGTACAAGGTTGTCCTGGAAGAAAAATTGCTTCCTTTTGCTCTGACATTGTTCCCCAACTCTGAGGATTGGTTTTTCCAGCAGGACAATGCACCATGCCACACAGCCAGGTCAATCAAGGGGTGGATGGAGGACCACCAGATCAAGACCCTGTCATGACCAGCCCAATCTCCAGACCTGAACCCCATTGAACATTTCTGGAATGTGATCAAGAGGAAGATTGATGGTCACAAGCCATCAAACAAAGCCGAGCTGCTTGAGTTTTTGCGCCAGGAGTGGCATAAAGTCACCAAACATCAATGTGAAAGACTGGTGGAGAGCATGCCAAGACGCATGAAAGCTGTGATTAAATCAGGGTTATTCCACCAAATATTGATTTCTGAACTCTTCCTAAATTAAACATTAGTATTGTGTTGTTTAAAAATGATCAGTAACTTATTTTCTTTGCATTATTCGAGGTCTGACAACACTGCATATTTTTTGTAATTTTGACCAGTTGTCATTTTCTGCAAATAAATGCTCTAAATGACTATTTTTATTTGGAATTTGGGAGAAATGTTGTCAGTAGTTTATAGAATAAAACAAAAATGTTTATTTTACACATACATATAAATAGTATAACCAGAGAAACTGATCATTTTGCAGTGGTCTCTTAATTTTTTCCAGAGCTATATGTGTATATTTATATATTTTTTTACTCAGACACCCGCGATGCATTCAAGACCTCGGGTCACGACCCGCCAGTTGAGAATCGTTGCTCTACTGTACTCTGCTCTGATGTCCAAACTTGTGAAACATGAGGAGAATGACATTCATATCCATAATTATGCATTTCTGTTTAGTGTTTAGACCAGGGATCTTCAATTCCGGTCCGAAACACCTCTGTTTTTCATCCTCTCCTTCTAATCAGGGGCTAATTCAGACCTGGGACACCAGGTGAGTGCAATTAACTACCAGGTAGAAATAAAAAAACAGAAGCGTTTCGGCCCTCCAGGACCGGAATTGAAGAACCCTGGTTTAGACCCATGATGTACTGTAATTCCATTACCGGGTGTAAATCCACTTCACTTACTGTAGTTCAATAACAAAAATATTTGTTCAAACTCAACGTGCCATGTCATAGCTGAAACCCCATTCCTTCTGCAAACATCTTTGAATCTTAATTCGGAGCAGATATTTAAAGAGTTTTTGGGAAATGTGGTCGCATAAAAACCTGATGGAGATTTTACCGTAATTATGTTACCAAAGTTTGCATCTGCACAGTTCTTCCACTGAATTAGTTTTTGTAAATTTGTCTGTGGAAATTGTTTTAAGTAGTCCTTGTGCATTGAGTTGTATGGTTTGTTAAACTTTGAAATCAATGTTTTTTGTTTGGCATACATTTTAAAGTGGAAAAAACTGAGTCAAAGCGTAATTCCGTTATCGTGGAATTGCCCAAAAACTTTAGGCCTATTTGACCTTCAGCTTTGGTGCTCTCCCTTCTGTCTACGATCTACATTGTCCTCTTGCATTATGTTAATAGTCTATCGACCACATATTTATTGAAATAGGCTATGGCAAATAGGAATAGGCCATTTGGTATGTCGTCTGGCTCTGCGCTGCCCTGTTGTGCGCACTTTACTGCACGGTGCCAGTCAAGATCAAATAGGCTAAACTATCATCTCTCACATCACGATGTCGTCACCATTGACGATGGCTGACAAGCATAGTTGATTTACGATTCTATCGTAATATTGCCCAACCCTATTGGACAGTGCAAGAAGCGATTTCAGACAGCGATACCAGTGGTCCTGAGAGCGAGAGAGAATCTGGTGACAAACTGGTGTCTTGTTGCTGGTGCTACGGGAGAATAGTGTTGTCTGCACTGGTTGCTGCTGGTGGGGGGTGGGGGGGAGTGGTGTCTGCACAGACAGTTGAGGCTGGTGCCATCAGTGTTTTCCATAAGCGCCGGCTGTCGATAAGACTCATTATCAGACAGCTACTTTTTCCACTTCATAAATTAAGGCAACAGTAAATATGTTGTTCCCCACAAATGATGCAGCAGCCGCCCCCTTGGGCTATTCAGTGGATCTCTTTGGCAAGACTCATAATTTACCCAAGTTTCGTCAAAATCGAGCCAGTGGTGTCTGAGATATTGTGTGGGTTAGCTATACTCATCCCTGAGTATATGTGCCAAATTTAATCACTCTGAGTCAAACAGATCAAGAGACATAAACATGTACCCGTTATATCACCACCGTGTGGTCGATATGACTGTTCTTGCATATGTTGATTCTTGACAGTGTTTGCAATGTGTACCAAATCTTGTTACAATACGAATGTCCTTGACTGATTTATATGCAATTATGTGTTAGACCACGCCCATGTGAATGTTCATTGGTCAATATCGGCCATATTGTTTTATGTACTAGTCTGGAAAATATTGCGCTGAGAGAGAGAGAGACCTTTGGCCATAGATGCCACATATCAAGTCTCGTGCAGATCGGTCATTCAGTGCAAGAAGTGTAGCATTTTAAGTGTGTTTCGTAAAATTCAAAATAGCAGAAAATCCATCATGGCGAACCTTATTGGTCCCAGAGGCAAATTTGGACCTACAGTGCATTCGGAAAGTATTCAGACCCCTTGACTTTTTCCACATTTTGTTACGTTACAGCCTTATTCTAAAATTGATTAAATAATTTTTCTCTCATCAATCTACGCACACTACCCTATAATGACAAAGCAAAAACTGGTTTTTAGACATTTTAGCAAATTTATTGAAAATAAAAACTGATATCACATTTACATAAGTATTCAGACCCTTTACTCAGTACTTTGTTGAAGCACATTTGGCAGCGATTACAGCCTCGAGTCTTCTTGGGTATGACACTACGAGCTTGGCACACCTGTATTTGGGGAGTTTCTCCCATTCTTCTCGGCAGATCCTCTCAAGCTCTGTCAGGTTGGATGGGGAGCGTCGCTGCACAGCTATTTTCAGGTCTCTCGAGAGATGTTCGATCGGGTTCAAGTCCGGGCTCTGGCTGGGCCACTCAAGGACATTCAGAGACTTGTCCTGAAGCCACTCCTGCATTGTCTTGGCTGTGTGCTTAGGGTCGTTGTCCTGTTGGAAGGTTAACCTTCGCCCCAGTTTGAGGTCCTGAGCACTCTGGAGCAGGTTTTCAGCAAGGATCTCTCTGTACTTTGCTCCGTTCATCTTTCCTCCAAACGTGGCGCTTGGCATTAGGCCAAAGAGTTCAATCTTGGTTTCATCAGACCAGAGAATCTTGTTTCTCATGGTCAGAGAGTCCTTTAGGTGAATTTTGCATTGTTTCTCATGGTCAGAGAGTCCTTTAGGTGCATTTTGGCAAACTCCAAGCAGGCTGTCATGTGTCTTTTACTGAGGAGTGGCTTCCGTCTGGCCACTCTACCATAAAGGCCTGATTTGGTGGAGTGCTGCAGAGATGGTTGTCTTTCTGGAAGGTTCTCCCATCTCCACAAAGGAACTCTGAAGCTCTGTCAGAGTGACCATCGGGTTCTTGGTCACCTCCCTGACCAAGGCCCTTCTTCCCCCCCGATTGCTCAGTTTGGCCAGGCAGCCAGCTCTAAGAAGAGTCTTGGTGGTTCCAAACTTCTTCCATTTAAGAATGATGGAGGCCACTGTATTCTTGGGGACCTTCAATGCTGCAGAAATGTTTTGGTATCCTTCCCCAGATCTGTGCCTCGACACAATCCTGTCTCTGAGCTCTACGGACAATTCCTTCGACCTCATGGCTTGGTTTTTGCACTGACATGCACTGTCAACCCCGTGGGACCTTATATAGACAAACATTTCTAAAGACCTGTTTTCGCTTTGTCATTATGGGGTATTGTGTGTAGATTGATGAGGATTTTAAAAAATCCATTTTAGAATAAGGCTGTAACATAACAAAATGTGGAAAAGGGGAAGGGGTCTGAATACTATATAATTTCATAAATGCTACATCGCTATGGCAAGACGCATCATTCACCCAAGTTTCGGCAAAATCGGGCCAGTGCTTTCTGAGATTTCACATGCGACTAATGCCCTGTACACATTGTGACGTATTTCATTCCGCCGTATGTCATCTTCACAGAGTCTTGCTCCGCTAATATATGGACAAGTGTAGTGTTTGTAACGCAAGATGGAGGAGAGCCTGTCTCTCGTCAGAGATCACATTTATTTTGAGAGATTGCTGAATATGACCTTTTCATTGAAGACAGGATAAATATATTGTTTCAGATTTAATTTTTGCCACAATACATTAAATCGAAAGAGTAGACTACTCGTTTTTCTGACTAGATTACCTATCTACAGCCTTCCCTCAAAGTTCCTCCACAGTGATTGATTGACAGGTCTTAAACCCTACCGACTCTGTGACTCACAAACATCCTGCCCCTCCCCTGACAATCCCACCGACAGTGATTGATTGACAGGCCAAAATGTTACAGGGATAGTTCACCTAAATAACAAAATGACACTGGTTTCCTTACCCTAAGTGCACCCAGCCCGGAACTACCTGGCTGGCTACTTTTTTGATTTGGATGGCTACTCCATGTACTTATGGAAAACACTGTGCCAGTAGGGATCCCCCTGTACTGTACTGTACTGTGCTGAGATTGGGATACAGAGCAAGACTGAATCCTCTGAAGGCGTTACTGCATCTTGGCACCTCATCATGTCTGAGACTGTTTGTCATCCACAGTCATGCGTATTAGTTTTATAACCTCTGTTCCCTAGCTTCTGTTGCATTTGTCATCATCGGGATAATTTAAATAGCTCATCACTGTCTCTCTCGTGATCTGTTTTTCCAAACAGTTATTTGTGTGTGTGTGATTTTTGGTTAAGGACCATAATTAGGCAAGCTAAGTGTATTATGATGATGACAGACTTGGTGCCTGTATCCTGTGTCATCTCTTCTGTCTGAATGACCCAGGACATTTGCATCTTCTCCAGTGAAAAGTCTCACAAGCTATGGCCTGACACTGTGCTCCTGCTGCTGTGCAGTTGTACTCAACAATGAATCAAGCAATATGTGAATTGTACTTTCTTGTACACTGCAAAACTGTTCTGTTACTATAACCTCCTGCATTCCCCTGAACTCTTAAAGGGATACTTCAGGGTTTTGGCAATGAAGCCCTACTTCCCCAGAGTCGGATGAACTCGTGGATACCATTTTTATGTCTCTACCTCCCGTACGAAGGAAGTTAGAGGATGTTTCGTGAGCCAATTCTAACTAGCATTAGCATAAAGCAAAGACTGGAAGTCTCCGGGCACAAACCACTCAGATAATTGAGTGAGGATCAGAAAGGATCTCATGCAGTGTCGCTGCTGGAATAGCCTATTGGTAGGGATGTAATGTATTTAGATACGTATTGAATTGTCTTGAAAAGGAAAGATGCACATCCCTACCTAATAGTTCTGAGTGATGTCTTCTATCGCCTACTGACATAAACAGGACCCCCCTCTGTCTTGGTCTGGAGGTTGCCTCAGGGCAATTCCATGCTAACGGAGTGACGCTGATAGTCCGATTTTTCACTTTCAAATGTATGTCAAACAAAAACCAATGATTGCAAAGTTAAACAAACCATAGTACTCTATGCCCAAGGACTAGAGTTGGGCGATATGGCCAAAATATCATATCACAATATTTGTCAATTTTTTTAATGGTATTTTATGTTTTTGAATAATACAAGTTATAAATATGCTTCATGTGTAGTACATGACCCTAGGGTGGATATACACTGCTCAAAAAAATTAAGGGAACACTAAAATAACACATCCTAGATCTGAATGAATCAAATAATCTTATTAAATACTTTTTTCTTTACATAGTTGAATGTGCTGACAACAAAATCACACAAAAATGATCAATGGAAATCAAATGTATCAACCCATGGAGGTCTGGATTTGGAGTCACCCTCAAAATTAAAGTGAAAAACCACACTACAGGCTGATCCAACTTTGATGTAATGTCCTTAAAACAAGTCAAAATGAGACTCAGTAGTGTGTATGGCCTCCACGTGCCTGTATGACCTCCCTACAACGCCTGGGCATGCTCCTGATGAGGTGGCGGATGGTCTCCTGAGGGATCTCCTCCCAGACCTGGACTAAAGCATCCGCCAACTCCTGGACAGTCTGTGGTGCAACGTGGCGTTGGTGGATGGAGCGAGACATGATGTCCCAGATGTGCTCAATTGGATTCAGGTCTGGGGAACGGGCGGGCCAGTCCATAGCATCAATGCCTTCCTCTTGCAGGAACTGCTGACACACTCCAGCCACATGAGGTCTAGCATTGTCTTGCATTAGGAGGAACCCAGGGCCAACCGCACCAGCATATGGTCTCACAAGGGGTCTGAGGATCTCATCAACATGGAGGGCTGTGCGGCCCACAAAGAAATGCTACCCCACACCATGACTGACCCACGTCAAACCGGTCATGCTGGTGGATGTTGCAGGCAGCAGAACGTTCTCCACGGCGTCTCCAGACTCTGTCACGTCTGTCACGTGCTCAGTGTGAACCTGCTTTCATCTGTGAAGAGCACAGGGCACCAGTGGTGAATTTGCCAATCTTGGTGTTCTCTGGCAAATGCCAAACATCCTGCACGGTGTTGGGCTGTAAGCACAACCCCCACCTGTGGACGTCGGGCCCTCATACCACCCTCATGGAGTCTGTTTCTGACCGTTTGAGCAGACACATGCACATTTGTGGCCTGCTGGAGGTCATTTTGCAGGGCTCTGGCATGCTCCTCCTGCTCCTCCTTGCACAAAGGCGGAGGTAGCAGTCCTGCTGCTGGGTTGTTGCCCTCCTACGGCCTCCTCCACGTCTCCTGGTGTACTGGCCTGTCTCCTGGTAGCGCCTCCATGCTCTGGACACTACGCTGACAGACACAGCAAACCTTCTTGCCACAGCTCGCATTGATGTGCCATCCTGGATGAGCTGCTTACCTGAGCCACTTGTGTGGGTTGTAGACTCCGTCTCATGCTACCACTAGAGTGAAAGCACCGCCAGCATTCAAAAGTGACCAAAACATCAGCCAGGAAGCATAGGAACTGAGAAGTGGTCTGTGGTCACCACCTGCAAAACCAGTCCTTTATTGGGGGGTGTCTTGCTAATTGCCTATAATTTCCACCTGTTGTCAATTCCATTTGCACAACAGCATGTGAAATGTATTGTCAATCAGTGTTGCTTCCTAAGTGGACAGTTTGATTTCACAGAAGTGTGATTGACTTGGAGTTACATTGTGTGGTTTAAGTGTTCCCTTTATTTTTTTGAGCAGTGTATATACTTTTTTAATTAAATTGTTTTAATTCTCTTCTGATTGTTTCAAACTTCAACCAAAAATTATTTTCAGAATTTTTATCAATTACTGCGTTTCCTGCACTTAAGTGTTCCTTTATCCGAATAGCTATTCTCCTCTATAGCTAGTTTTCCATCCAATTTGCGACAGATTTCCATGCGAATATTCTAAAATCTGCATAAAACAATATGCACATTTTCCCTCCAGAGATGTTTCCATCAAACTGACTCATTACGGATAAAAGTGACGTAGTGCACATAAAAATAACGTTTGAGGTTAAATTCCCATGTACCGAATGAAAAATACAAGTTAAATGGGTTTCCATCGCATTTTCAACTCTACTGATGGTTTTGTCACAAACTGTTGCATTATATAGCAAACATGCCCACTCTGGTCTTGGCACGTGTGCTCTAGCCAACATCTCGTGCATACATTGCGGGTAGGCTACCTGCATAATGAGATTATTATGGATAAGAGCAATTTTTATTTTTTTGGTCAAACGGCAGCCAAGCATCATCATGTCACCAGAATAAGATATTTATTGGAAAGGAGCATCAAGCTCGTGCGCTTTCACCACCCTGTGAAGTTCGTCATAACTTATTTCATCTGTAGCCTAATAAACTGCATGGTTTTCCGAGTCGTAGTGGAAGGACCACACAACATATCATCGCGTGACTCCAAGTTTACTTCAATATTATGGTTATTATATGAATATTTGCTGCATAAAGGCGCTTCCGCTGCTATTTTTTGCATAATTCATTTTACAGAAACAAAAAGATCCCACCATGTCGAACAAACTAATTGTCTGTCGGCATTTATAAAGTTGTACCGACATATCCTGTTTCCATCAGCCCAGTCGTGACTTTTTTCATGCGTCATGTAATTCATCCACATGAAATGGTTGGATGGAAACCTGGTTAATGACCATGTATTTTCAATGCATTTAATGGCAGTTTTACTTTCGCCACAAGTAGCAGTGTGCAGATATCTAAGGTTATTTTGACACCGACGCTGCCTCACAGGCAAGTTTCACAACAAAAAACTACATGTGCGCTCTTTCGGCGCCTCCACTGCCTCACAGGCATGATTCATGGCAAAAAAGTACCTAGAATGCGCTCTAGAAGCTCTTGACGATCTCCGCTGTTAGCAGTCTTTTACTGGCGGTAAGAACGGATGATTTCCATCATTGTTAGAGTTTAATCACTCAATTATTACATTTAACAAACCAAACATTGTAATACCGTTATGTAAGGTAAGGTAAAAATCCAAACCGGTCCGTGCATCAATAGTAAAATACGTTTTACTGGCCAGCCCTAACAAGGACTACTTTGAACAATTTCCACAAACATTTTTCCAAAAACACATTTACTTGAAGTTTGGTAACAGAATGACAGTTTGTGCTGGACTCCCATGGAGTGTTTAACTTTGCAATCATTGTTTTTTGTTTGACATACATTTTGTGTGAAGAATCTGAGTCTGTGCCACTGTTACTGTGGAACTGCCCCTCAGTACTGGTGCTGTGCACTGGCCTTCTCTACTCCTCCTTAATTATGTCTCTTATTTTCCTCTCAAAGATATAATGCAGCAGCCAATGATGCCGCAGTACAAGATGTCCCAGAATTCCATGCATGGGAGTCCGGCGTCGACAAACTACCAGCAAACCACTATTTCACACAGCCCTTCTAGGTATGACAATAAATTGCTCATTCAATATGCTGTAATGTTAGTGAGTCCTCTGCTAGTTCATTCAATACTTCTGTCAACTTCTGAGAGTTGCAGATTCCCTTGGAATTGACATGTTCTTCTCATCCTCTTCCTCTACAGTCGCTTTGCCCCTCCACAGATGGGGTCAGGTGCCAGGTTCACGCCCCAGCAGAACAGCCCTGTGCCCAGCCCCTACGCCCCCCAAAGCCCTGCTGCTTACATGCAGCAGTACCCTCACCCACCCAGCTACTCTCAGCACCAACAGATCCAGCAAGGTGGGGCTGCACTTCTGCTTTTGTATAGGAACATGATACATGATGGGGAACCTACCAACTGATTCTCAAATAACCATACTGTAACTAACTATTATGCATGTCATGATGTTGATTCTCTGCTGAAGACCGTGTAGAATTTGTACATATGGACAGAAGGGCTCCATGCATTATAAACCAACACAGTTTACCCAGGTGTGTTGTGTTGATGTTCTGTGGTCGTAGAGCTTCATTCTTCCCCTGTCCTTTCACCTGCATCCTCTTTTTCAGGAAGCCCCCAGAGGCCTGTGCAGCCCTGCCTAGAGGTGCAGACCCAGCCCCAGGCCTCCCCCCACCAGAACCCCTCCACCCCAACCTTAGGTACGGGAAAACCCTGGGGACATCATATCAAATATCCACTCTCCAGCCCCATCACCTCAAAGCTGTGACCCATCGGCTTGTGTCTCTGTGACGTATTATTTGCATCACAAAATATCCATGCTCTGTCTATGCAATTGCAAACTGTATTTATAACAATAGAGGATGCAGTGTTGGTTTGCAGTGCACACTTGCTCGCTGCAAGATTCCTGTGGATTGGCATAATTTGTCAGGTCTCCTTTCTTTGGTGTTTTTGTTTTATTACTTGTTTATTTGCATTCATTCTACCTGTTGAATAAGATGATTAACAGGTGAACCAGTGTTTAGTATGGCTTTTGCGTAGCTGCAAGGTAATTGAATGAAGGTTGATTGATTGTATCTGGGATTTATTTTGGTGTCTGTTCAGTTGCCAGTCCCATGGTTCCTGGCGGCATGCGGAACATCCACGACAACAAGGTCTCTGGGCAAATTTCAAGCAACTCAGCCAATCACAATGCCAGACATGGCTCGAACGAAGACTACATGAACATAGTCCACAGACTAGGGAATGAGGTAAACACAAGAAATTATTCATACCAAGATGAAACTACCAAGCAAAGATACCATTTTGACATGAAATACAATTTCCTCTCTTGGATCCTCATTGCTGGTACACTGCCTGAATGTATTTGTTGTGTGGAGTTGTATCCACCAGTGCTGCTTTAGTTATATATATCTGATTCATGTTTTTCCCAGGAGAGTGATCCTTCCATGAGAAATGCCTCCTTTGCACTCCGTTCGCCCCAGTCTGTTTGTTCCCCTGCTGGCAGCGAAGGGACCCCAAAAGGTATACCAACAGAGACCGCTAATATGCATGATCATGCTGTGGACTGGAAATCATGAGTAAACCTACTTATTCTATGCCAAGTGTTCATGCCTGGATCATATTCATGTTCATATTTGTAAAAAACCACACACAATTTATTTGTATTAATTTTTTTGGTTTCTGCAGGGTCACGACCTAGCCTCATCCTTCAGTCCCCACACCCTTACGCTTCCCCCCGTGAAGGCGCTCCCGACCTCCTCCTGGACTCTCCTGACTGCAAGAAGAAGCAGAAGAAGCTAACTAAAGAGGAGAAGGAGCAGTTGGATAAAGCTGCTATGTACGACATCGTCAGCTCTCCCTCTAAAGACTCTACCAAGCTGACGCTCAAACTGTCCCGGGTGAAGTCCTCCGAGATGGACCAGTCCGGAGAGCTCCTACCTGGCGCAGAGGACCAGGACACTGACCTGGCCTACAACAGCCTGCAGTTCTCCCGGACGCAGCAGGACCCTGCCCACAGGTTAGGGCCAGGCCAGGGGGAGCAGTCAGGCTACCAGCAGGTCCCTGTGCTCCAGAACACTAAGCAGGCTGGAGGGGTGATCAGCGGAGCTGTGTACGACGATGCTGAGATGGACGCGCTCGCTGAGATCGAGAGGATAGAACGGGAGACGCTCATAGAAAGGGAGCGCTGCTCCAAAGAGGTTCAGGATAAAGGTGAGTTTACATTCACTATTGCACTTAAAAATCTATCATAAAAAATATTTTTCAGTGTGCTGAGAAATAGGAGAAATAACTTGCTGATAAAAATAAGTCCTATGTCAGAATATTTTCTGAGCAATGGTTTCCTCACTGCAGACAAGCCACTGAAGAAGCGGAAGCAGGACTCGTATCCCCAAGAGCCTGGAGCTGGAGGTACAGCAGGGGCAACTCAGCCTGGCGTGGGAGGGGGCAATGCTGGCAGCAAGCTGGCACCCCAGGAGGCTAGTGCTGCCAGTAATGGTGCCAGCCGGCCTGCCCTAATGGTCAGCATCGACCTGCAGCAAGCAGGCAGAGCTGACGGGCAGCCAGAGGTGAACATAGGCACCCCCACCCCTGCCCTGGAGGCCCAGCGCTGGCCTGAGGAACGCCTGGGTCCTGGGGACGGCTCCGACTCCACTGGAGTCCTGCGGCTAAACTCCAAGACAGAAGGAGACACACTACAGACTGCAGATGTCCGGCCAGAGTTCATCAAGCAGCGTGCCGACACCCCCAAGAAGCTGGGCCCTGACGTCCGACCAGAGACCCCCAAACACAAGCACGAAAACAGACGAGACTCGTCCAAACACCGACACGATAGCAAACCTGACAACAGTAAGGCCCGCTCTGAGGGCAGGACGCCTGACACGCCACGACAACGGCACGAGGGTCGCTCAGACTCTGGTCACAGGGAGGACAGGTCCCGGGACAGTGACCCATCCCGCATCCGCAGGCCAGAGACCCCCAGCAAGTCCAGCAGGGGGGAACATGACTCCAAACATGGACGGGACAGAGACCGGGTGCGGGGGGATAAGGACAGGGAGAGGAAACACAGGACAGAGGCAGGGGAACCACGGGACCGACGATCTCCAGAGCAGCGCTCCAGGCCAGAGAGCCCGCGGGTTAAGCAGGAAGGCCGAGTGGGGGTGGACCCCAGTGGGCGCCAGAGGACTGACAGGCCAGGCCCAAACCTCAAATCTCCCAATAAAGAGGAGAGGAGGAGTGGGGAGGAGAAGAGGAGTGGGGAGGAGAGGAGGAGTGGGGACGGCAGCAGGAACCGACAGGACTCCAAGCAGCAACAGCAGCCTGCTGAAAACAAACAGGAGTTCCCTGCTTACCTGCTTGGGGGCATAAAGTCTGGAGGCTTTAAGAACTTTGTGATTCCCAAGGTGAAGCGGGATAAGGATGGGCATGTATTGGCAGCTGAGATGAGGAAGCCTTCTCTGGGGTCTGTAGTGGAGGGCTGGAAGGAGCCCCGGGTCAAGCTGGAGCGACTGGGGCTGGTAGAGAAGATGAAGACAGCAGCCAAACCTGTTGTGGTGCTGCAGAAACTCAGCATCGATGAGGTGCAGAAAATCATCAGGGAGAGGAAAGATAGAAGCAGTTCCAAGTCCTCCAAGAGCAGGCCCTCTCATTGGAATTCTGAGAAAGGTAAGCGGAGACATCCTGCTGTCTGCATGACAGACTGGGTCAGCTTGTTGTGTGGGTGAACTTAAGGTTTAACTATGGTAACCTGTATTGACATGTGCTTTTGACTTATTGCTTTGAGAACTTTGAGAGTTCTAATTACTTTGCACATTAATCCACTAGCAGCACAGAATCACGTACTGTATTTTACTCCCCTTGAAAGGATTACGATTTATTGCGGGGATTATTTGATTTGGTCATGAGGCCTAGCTAAAGATCCTGAAAACAAGATACTATTGGTTTTAGTTGTGGCACATAATGTGTCATTGTTAGTGTATTTAGCCCTTTCGTACAAGGGCTAAAAGATGATTGGGTGACGTCTCTCTGTGAGGTCTTGATGAATCAGTGTTGAAAGAACTGCCTCCTCATCTGATTGCTGAGATAGAGTCCACCATGCCACTGTGTGAGAGGGTGAAGATGAACAAACGCAAGCGCAGCACCATCAAGGAGAAGCCCAAGTACGCCGAGGTCAACTCCGATGATGATGACGACGACTCTGTGACGGAGTGTAAGTACCACACATATAGCTTTTTTTGCACAGCCAAATCCAAAACAATGTTCATTCCAATCCCAGTAGTTGGGGGCGGGCTAATGGTTAATAACAAACCTCTGGTGTTTATGATCAAAGCTTCATCCTTTAACTTTTTGCTCCTTCTCTCTCTCCCTACAGCTACACGGAAGCGTCACAAGAAGGAGCGGGAAAAGACGTGGGAGCCTGATGAGCGGGAGAGGAGAGGCTCAGGGCGCAGGGGGTCCGGCAGCCGTCACCGTGAACGCAGCCCAGAGGATTCAGACAATGAGTCCCCACCACCCAGCATGAGTGACCGTAAGTCTGGCACTGTCTTTAACTGACCATCCAGCATGAGCATTGATGGTTGTCTCTCTCTCTCTCTATATACAGTGCATTCGGAAAGTATTCAGACCCCTTGACTTTTTCCATATTTTGTTACTTTACAGCCTTATTCTTAATTGATAAAATTGTTTTTTTTCCCTCATCAATCTACACACAATACCCCATAATGACAAAGCAAAAACAGGTTTTTAGAAATCTTTGCAAATGTATAAAAAAAGAAACAACTGAAAAATCACATTTACAAAAGTATTCAGACCCTTTACTCAGTACTTTGTTGAAGCATCTTTGGCAGCGATTACAGCCTCATACCTTCTTGGGTATGACGCTACAAGCTTGGCACACCTGTATTTGGGGAGTTTCTCCCATTCTTCTCTGCAGATCTTCTCAAGCTCTGTCAGGTTGGATGGGGAGCATCGCTGCACAGCTATTTTCAGGTCTCTCCAGAGATGTTTGATCGGGTTCACGTTCGGGCTCTGGCTGGGCCACTCAAGGACATTCAGAGACTTGTCCTGAAGCCACTCTTGTGTTGTCTTGGCTGTGTGCTTAGGGTCGTTGTCCTGTTGTAAGGTGAACCTTCGCCCCAGTCTGATGTCCTGAGTGCTCTGGAGCAGGTTTTCATTAAGGATCTTTCTGTACTTTGCTCCGTTCATCTTTCCCTCAATCCTGACTTGTCTCCCGGTCTCTGCCGCTGAAAATAATTCCCACAGCCGGATGCTGCCACCATGTTTCACCGTAGGGATGGTGCCAGGTTTCCTCCAGACGTGACGCTTGGCATTCAGGCCAAAGAGTTCAATCTTGGTTTCATCAGACCAGAGAATCTTGTTTCTCATGGTCTGAGAGTACTTTAGGTGCCTTTTGGCAAACAATATTCATACCCCTTGACCTTTTCCACATTTTGTTGCATTACAGCCTGCATTTTAAATGGATTAAATTGAGATTGTGTGTCACTGGCCTACACATAATACCCCATAATGTCAAAGTGGAATTCGGTTATAAGAATTTGTTACAAATTAATTAAAAATGGAAAGCTGAAATGTCTTGAGTCAATTGTGTATTCAACCCCTTTGTTATTTATGGGAAGCCTAAATAAGTTCAGGAGTAAAAATGTTGCTTAACACGTCACAATAAGTTGCATAGACAGTGTGCAATAATAGTGTTTAACATGATTTTTGAATGGCTACCTCATCTCTGTACCCCACACATATAATTATCTGTAAGGTCCCTTTACAGAAGAAAAATATTCCAAAACATGCATCCTGTTTTGAAATAAGGCACTAAAGTAAAGCTGCAAAAAATGTGGCAAAGGAATTACATTTATGTCCTGAAAACAAAGCGTTATGTTTGGGGGAAAATCCAACAAAACACATCACTGAGTACCACTCTTCAAATTTTCAAGCATGGTGGTGGCTGCATCATGTTATGGGTATACTTGTCATCAAGTTTTTTTGTTGATAAAAAGAAACGACATAGAGCACAGGCAAAATCCTAGAGGAAAACCTGGTTCAGTCTGCTTTCCAACAGACACTGGGAGACAAATGTACCTTTCAGCAGGACAATAACCTAAAACACAAGGCCAAATATACACTGGAGTTGCTTAGCACGACGACATTGAATGTTCCTGAGTGGCCTAGTTACAGTTTTGACTTAAATCGACTTCAGAATCTATGGCAAGACTTGAAAATGGCTGTCTAGCAATTATCAACAACCAATTTGACAGAGCTGGAAGAATTCTGAAGAGAATAATGTGCAAATATTGTACAATCCAGGTGTGCAAATCTCTTAGAGACTTACCCAGATAGACTCGCAGCTATAATCGCTTCCGAAGGTGATTCTAACATGTATTTACTCACTTATTCTATACATTTGCAAAAAAAAAAAAAAACATTTTCATTGAGGTATTTGGTTAGAAAAATAAATCATATTTAATCATTTTTGATTTCAGGCTGTAACACAGCAAAATGTGGACTAACTCAAGGGGTATGAATACTTTCTGAAGGCCCTTATAGAGCATAAACCAGCATGGCATACCTGTGCATTAGATACAGGGTAAAATGCTGAGGATGAGTAGTAGTAATATTTCACTAGATAAGTGTTGCTGTCCAATGTCATTGTCCTAACATGTATCTATCCTGTCCAGTTGCCAGAAAGATGAAGAAGAAGGAGAAACAGAAGAAGAGAAAGGCGTACGAGCCCAAGCTGACAGCAGAAGGTAATTTCACTCTAAATTCAGTAATGTCTTTGTTGTATGTCTTTGGTCCCATAAGTGCAGGTTACTCACTTTCTCCATGTTGTTTACTCAACAGAACTGATGGACTCCTCCACATTCAAGAGGTTCTCAGCCAGTGTGGACAACATTCTGGAGAGCTTGGAGGACATTGACTTCAATGCCATGGGTATGCATTATTCATACTTTACAGCTTTTTTTCAATTTTCTTCGGAGGTTTGAGTCACTGTTTAAATTACATTTCTACCAAGAATGGGAAAGATAACATTGTGATTGTTGGAATTATTTTCAAATGTAATAGTAAATAGTAATGCTCAGTTATAAATGACGGTGACCGAACTGCCACCTCTAACTCCACAACTCTCGTCAACAGATGACGATGAGATCCCACAGGAGCTTCTGCTGGGGAAACACCAGCTGAGTGAACTGGCCAGCGAATCTGCTAAGATCAAGGCCATGGGCATCACCTTCAGGGTAAGGAAGGGGAACACTGGATGCAGGATGATGTCAATCTTTTTGGCATTCTGTTATATTTTTCTCATCTGTCTCATCCATAGCTTTCATCTGGTAAGTTGGTGAAGGTCCTGAACATCCTGGAGAAAAACATTCAGGATGGGTCCAAACTCTCCACACTGATGAACCATGTAAGTTGCCCCCTCATATGGTTTCCCAGACCCAGATTAATAATAATAATAATAATAAATAATAATACGCCATTTAGCAGACGCTTTTATCCAAAGCGACTTACAGTCATGCGTGCATACATTTTTTTTTTGTGTATGGGTGGTCCCGGGGATCGAACCCACTACCTTGGCGTTACAAGCGCCGTGCTCTACCAGCTGAGCTACAGAGGACCACCCATACATGCCACCCAACATGCCTAAAAAGCATGTTCCATGGAGAAATTCCACTAGTCTGAATGTCTTCTCTCTCTGTCGAACAGGACGCAGACGCGGAAGACGAGGAACGACTGTGGCGTGACCTCATCATGGAGCGCGTGACCAAGTCAGCTGACGCCTGTCTGACGGCCCTCAACATCATGACGTCGGCCCGCATGCCCAAGGCGGTGTACATCGAGGACGTGATTGAGAGGGTTCTACAGTACACCAAGTTTCACCTGCAAAACACCCTCTACCCTCAGTATGACCCTGTCTACAGAGTTGACCCTCACGGAGGTCAGCACCCTAACCCCACCTTACTATCAAAAGCAATTGGAACAAACCAATAACAAAATGTGGTGAGAACTGGCCACATAAATGTCCAGTCCAGTCTTCATACACTCTGTCAAACTTTGAGTGTGCTTTGTTCAAGACCAGAGCACCCAGAACATTTGAAAGACGGTGTGTACATACAAGACAGTGTGGTCCACTCGGAACTACCTGGGCCACTGTTATGCATATCCCTGTCATGACTGACTGAGGAAATGGTCTCTGCTCTCCTGTTTTACTCATCGTCTCTCCTCTCCTCCCCTCTCTCACCCAGGTGGCTTGCTGAGCTCCAGGGCTAAGAGAGCTAAAAGCTCCACACACAAGCAGAGGGTGATCATCATGCTCTACAACAAGGTGTGTGACATTGTCAGCAACATCTCTGAGCTCCTGGAGATACAGCTGTTGACTGACACCACCATCCTGCAGGTGAGACTCTGCCCCTAATGCTATCCCTGGGGGTCATGACCTCTCATGACCTTTGATTTCTGACCCCTGCTTGCTTACCTTATAACTAATCTCTCTCTCCTTCCCTCAGGTTTCCTCCATGGGCATCACTCCATTCTTTGTGGAGAGTGTCAGTGAGCTACAGCTGTGTGCCATCAAACTAGTGACTGCGGTAAGAATCCAAACCAGGGTTTCCATGGAGTTCTGCCTTTGTTCTAGAATTTATTCCCTTTTATTGTGCATCCATTACATACATCCCTTGTATAGCAGTGCCAGGGTTGCTCATGATGTGGTGCCTCAAACGTGGGTTCCCATGGAGTTCTGGATTTGTTCTAGAATACACTATATTCCCTTTCATTGTGTATGTATTGCAATGTCAGGGTAACTGTAATGATGAGCCTTTCCTCCTGGTCTCCCTCAGGTGTTCTCTCGCTATGAAAAACACAGGCAGCTCATCCTGGAAGAGATCTTCACCTCTCTGGCCAGACTACCCACCAGCAAACGCAGCCTCAGGAACTTCAGGTAACTGCACCTACAGAGAACATGCGCCACGAGAGACCATATAAGTTCTCAAGGAGAATTTCAGAAATGCTAATAATGTTATGAAGTTCATATTTTCAAACCATTTTCTTATTATTTTCAGAATGTTTACCAAGTTTCAGGTTTTAATGTCACCTGCACAAGTAAAATGCCTTTCTTGCTAGCTCTAAACCCAACAATGCCGTAATCAATGTCGATGTAGTACTGAATATACGGCCGAGTGGCACAGCGGTCTAAGGCACTGCATGAGGCGTCACTACAGACCCGGGTTCAATCCCAGGCTGTGTCACAACCGGCCGTGACCGGGAGTCCCATAGGACGGCGCACAATTGGCCCAGGTTAGGGGAGGATTTGGCCGGGGGGGCTTTACTTGACTCATCGCGCTCTAGCAACTCCTTGTGGCAGGACTGGTGCCTGCAGGCTGACTTCGGTCGTCAGTTGAACAGTGTTTCCTCCGACACATTGGTGCAGCTGGCTTCCGGGTTAAGCGGGCGGGTGTCAAGAAACGCGGTTTGGCGGGTCATTTTTCAGAGGACGAATGATTCAACCTTCGCCTCTCCCGAGCCTGTTGGGGAGTTGCAGCAATGAGACAAGATTGTAATTGGATCGCAATTGGATATCACGAAATTGGGGAGAAAAAAGGGGATAAAAAACCAACAACAAAACAAATAGAAATAAGAAGAACACAATGTAAATAAGCTTTATACAGGGTCAGTTCCAATACCATACAATGTGCAGGGATACTGGAGTTATAGTTAGATATGTACAGTGCATCATTCGAAAAGTATTCAGACCCCTTGACTTTTTCCACATTTTGTTACGTTGCAGCCTTATTCTAAAATTGATTACATCGTTTTTTCCCATTATCAATCTACACACAATACCCCGTAATGACAAAGCAAAAACAGGTTTTAACTCTGGAACCTTATATAGACAAGTGTGTGCCTTTCCAAATCATGTCCAGTCAATTTAATTTACCACAGGTGGACTCCAATCAAGTTGTAGAACATCTCAAGGATGATCAAATGAAACACGATTCACCTGAGCTCAATTTTGAGTCTCATAGCAAAGGGTCTGAATACTTATGTAAATGTCATATTTCATTTTTTATACTTTTTTATAAATTTGCAACAATTTCTAAAAACCAGTTTTTGCTTTGTCATTATGTGGTATTGTGTGTAGGTTTATGAGGAAAATGTTTTAATTAATCCCTTTTAGAATAAGGCTGTAACGTAACAAAATGTGTAAAGTAAAGGGGTCTGAATACTTTCCGAATGCACTGTATAGGGATAAGGTGACTATGCATCAGCATACAGTGGCTTGCGAAAGTATTCACCCCCCTTGGCATTTTTCCTATTTTGTTGCCTTACAACCTGGAATTAAAATGGATTTTTTGGGGGGTTTGTATCATTTGATTTACACAACCTGCCTACCACTTTGAAGATGCAAAATATTTTTTTGGGGTGAAACAAACAAGAAGTAAGACAAAAAACAGAACTTGAGTGTGCATAACCATTCACCCCCCCCCAAAGTCAATACCTTGTAGAGCCACATTTTGCAGCAATTACAGCTGCAAGTCTCTTGGGGTATGTCTCTATAAGCTTGGCACATCTAGCCACTGGGAGTTTTGCCCATTCTTCAAGGCAAAACTGCTCCAGCTCCTTCAAGTTGGATGGGTTCCGCTGGTTGTACAGCAATCTTTAAGTCATATCACAGATTCTCAATTGGATTGAGGTCTGGGCTTTGACTAGGCCATTCCAAGACATTTAAATGTTACCCCTTAAACCACTTGAGTGTTACTTTAGCAGTATTAGGGTCATTGTCCTGCTGGAAGGTGAACCTCCGTCCCAGTCTCAAATCTCTGGAATACTGAAACAGGTTTCTCTCAAGAATTTCCCTGTATTTAGCGCCATCCATCATTCCTTCAATTCTGACCAGTTTCCCGGTCCCTGCCGATGAAAAACATGGGGATGGTGTTCTCGGGGTGATGAGAGGTGTTGGGTTTGCGCCAGACATAGCGTTTTCCTTGATGTCCAAAAAGCTCAATTTTAGTCTCATCTGACCAGAGTACCTTCTTCCATATGTTTGGGGAGTCTCCCACATGGCTTTTGGCGAGCACCAAACGTGTTTGCTTATTTTTTTCTTGAAGCAATGGCTTTTTTCTGGCCACTCTTCCATAAAGCCCAGCTCTGTGGAGTGTACGGCTTAAAGTGGTCCTATGGACAGATACTCCAATCTCCACTGTGGAGTTTTGCAGCTCCTTTAGGGTTATCTTTGGTCTCTTTGTTGCCTCTCTGATTAATGCCCTCCTTGCCTGGTCTGTGAGTTTTGGTGGGCGGCCCTCTCTTGACAGGTTTGTTGTGGTGCTATATTCTTTCAATTTTTTTATAATGGATTTAATAGTGCTCCGTGGGATGTTCAAAGTTTCAGATATTTTTTTATAACCCAACCCTGATCTGTACTTCTCCACAACTTGGTCCCTGACCTGTTTGGAGAGCTCCTTGGTCTTCATGGTGCCGCTTGCTTGGTGGTGCCCAATTCTTAGTGGTGTATTTTGTGTATGTCCATTACATGAAATCCCCCAAAAAATCTATTTAAATTACAGGTTGTAATGCAACAAAATAGGAAAAACGCCAAGGGGAATGAATACTTTTGCAAGGCACTTTTGTACAGTGCCTTCAGAAAGTATTCATACCCCTCGACTTATTCCACATTTTGTGGTGTTGCATCCTTAATTTAAAATGGATTAAAAAAATTTGTGAAAATGTTTTTACATAAATATTCACACCCCTGAGTCAATACTTTGTAGAAGCACCTTTGGCAGTGATTACATCTGTAAGTCTTTCTGGTTAAGTCTCTAAGCGCTTTCCACACCTGGTTTGTGCAACATTTGCCCATTATTCTTTTCAAAATTCTAGACAACCATTTTCAGATCTTGCCATAGATTTTCAAGTAGATTTAAGTCAAAACTGTAACTCGGCCTCTCTGTAACATTCACTGTCTTCTTGGTAAGCTTCTTCAGTGTAGATTTGACCTTGTGTTTTAGGTTATTTTCCTGCTGAAAGGTGACTTCATCTCCCAGTGTCTTGTGGAAAGCAGACTGAACCAGGTTTTCCTCTAGGGTTTTGCCTGTGCTTAGCTCCATTCTTTTTCATTTCTCCCCCTGAAAAACTCCCCAGTCCTTAACGATTACAAGCATACCCATAACATGATGCAGCCACCACTATGCTTGAAAATACGGAGAGTTGTTCTCAGTAATGTGTTGTATTGGATTGGCCCCAAACTTAACACTTTGTATTCAGGACAAAAAGTTAATTGCTTTGCCAAATGTTTTGCAGTATTACTTTAGTGCCTTGTTGCTAACGGGATGCATGTTTGGGAATATTTATATTCTGTAAAGGGACCTTACAGATAATTGTATGTGTGGGGTACAGAGATGAGGTTCCTTCTTTTTACTCTGTCAATTAGGTTAGAATTGTGGAGTAGCTACAATGTTGTTAATCCATCCTGAGTTTTCTCCTATCACAGCCATTAAACTCTGTAACTGTTTTAAAGTCACCATTGGCCTCATGGTGAAATCCCTGAGCGGTTTCCTTCCTCTCCGGCAACTGAGTTAGGAAGGACACTTGTATCTTTGTAGTGACTGGGTGTATTGATACACCATCCAAAGTGTAATTATTAACTTCCATGCCTCCCTGGTCTTTGTGGTTGAATCTGTTTGAAATGCACTGCTCGACTGAGGGACCTTACAGATAATTGTATGTGTGGGGTACAGAGATGAGGTAGTCATACAAAATTCATGTTAAACACTATTATTGCAAATTTTTACTCCTTAACTTATCTAGGCTTGCCGTAAAAAAGGGTTTAAATACTTATTGACTCAAGACATTTCCGCTTTGACATTATGGGGTATTGTGTGTAGGCCCGTGACAAAAAAAATCCACATTTAATCCATTTTAAATTCAGGATGTAATACACAATTTTGGGAAAAAGTCAAGGGGTGTGAATACTTTATGAAGGCACTGTATGATAAACAGTAGCAGCAGTGTATATGATGATTGTATGTGAGTGTGTGTGTAGTCAGTATAAATGTGTGTGCATGTTATGTGTGTGTGAGCAAATAAAGTGAGTGTGTGTGTTGGAGTGTCAAGAGTGCGTGAATGTGTAGAGTCCTGTGAGTGTGCATAGAGACAGTGCAAATATAAAATACAAGGGTCAACTCAGATAGTCCATGTAGCCATTTTGTTAGCTATTTAGCAGTCTTATGGCTTAGCGATAGACGCTGTTCAGGATACTGTCGGTGTCAGACTTGATGCACTGTTACCGCTTGCTGTGTGAAAGCAGAGAGAACAGTCTGGCTTGGGTGGCTGGAGTCTTAAACGATTTTCCGGGCCTTCCTTTCACACCGCCTGATATAGAGGTCCTGGATGTCAGGGAGCTCGGCCTCAGTGATGTACTGGGCTGTCCGCACCACCCTCTGTAGCGCCATGCGATCGAGGGCGGTGTTGTTGTCATACCAAGCAGTTAAGCAGCCAGTCAAGATGCTCTCAATGGTGCAGCTGTATAACTTTTTGAGGATTTGAGGGCCAATGCCAAACCTTTTCAGCCTCCTGAGGGGGAAGAGGCGCTGTCATGCCTTCTTCACGACTGTGGACCATTTTAAAGTCGTTAGTGATTTGGACGCTGAGGAATTTGAAGCTCTCGACCCGCTCCACTGCAGCCCCATCGATGTGGATGGGGGAGTCGTTCCCCCCCCCCCCTTTCCTGTAGTCCACGATCAGATCATTGGTCTTACTGACGTTGAGGGAGAGGTTGTTGTCCCGACACCACACTGCCAGGGGTCCTCATGTATAAACCATGCGTACGTACAAAATATACCCCAAAACATGCATGCGCCAGTTTTCGCGCAAAGGTTGCCATTTATAAAACTTGATGTGAGAATGTGCTCGCCTTCCCGCAAACTTTAGACCATAATAATAAATAATAATATGCCATTTAGCAGACGCTTTTATCCAAAGCGACTTACAGTCATGGGTGCATACATTTTTGTGTATGGGTGGTCCCGGGGATCGAACCCACTACCCTGGCGTTACAAGCGCCGTGCTCTACCAGCTGAGCTACAGAAGACCACAGTTTCTTGTTTTTGAAGTACTGTATTGCATTGCAAGCAGCCTAGTATTTTGTGCAAATGGGGGATAAGATGGGCACGTTTGTTCATAACAAATAACAGGTTAATAACAAGATGCAATCATTTGCCGTTAGTGAGAAGAGAAAACATCAATTTCGTTTATCTTTGCATTCTAAAATAATTAGAAATAGGCATCTATTTCTTAGACTATATTATTTATTTCATTTCCATGATCATTGCAGAATAGATTCCTCACATTTTCTGTGATGATTTCATACTCACAAGGTAGTCTATAGGCCTACAACAAGTTAGGATACCATTCTCCCCGTCTCTCATTTAATTGGACCCACTTCACAGTAGTATATAAACTCAGCATAAAAAGAAACGTCCCTTTTTTTTCTTTCAAAGATAATTCATAAAAATCCAAATAACTTCACAGATCTTCATTGTAAAGGGTTTAAACACTGTTTCCCATGCATGTTCAATTAACCATAAACAATTAATGAACATGCACCTGTGGAACGGTCGTTAAGACATTAACAGTTTACAGACGGTAGGCAATTAAGGTCACAGTTATGAAAACTTAGGACACGAAAGAGGCCTTTCTACTGACTCTGAAAAACACCAAAAGAAAGATGCCCAGGGTCCCTGCTCATCTGCGTGAACGTCCCTTAGGCATGCGGCAAGGAGACATGAGGACTGCAAATGTGGCCAGGGCAATAAATTGCAATGTCCATGCTGTGAGACGCCTAAGACAGCGCTACAGGGAGACAGGACGGACAGCTGATCGTCCTCGCAGTGGCAGACCACGTGTAACAACACCTGCACAGGATCGGTACATCCGAACATCACACCTGCGGGACAGGTACAGGATGGCAACAACAACTGCCCGAGTTACACCAGGAATGCACAATCTCTCCATCAGGGCTCAGACTGTCCGCAATAGGCTGAGAGAGGCTGGAATGAGGGCTTGTAGGCCTGTTGTAAGGCAAGTCCTCACCAGACATCACCGGCAACAACGTCGCCTATGGGCACAAACCAACCGTCGCTGGGCCAGACAGGACTGGCAAAAAGTGATCTTTACTGACGAGTCGCGGTTTTGTCTCACCAGGGGTGATGGTCGGATTCGCGTTTATCATCGATGAATGAGCGTTACACCGAGGCCTGTACTCTGGAGCGGGATCGATTTGGAGGTGGAGGGTCCTGTCATGGTCTGGGGGCGGTGTGTCACAGCATCATCGGACTGAGCTTGTTGTCATTGCAGACAATCTCAACGCTGTGCATTACAGGGAAGACATCCTCCTCCCTCATGTGGTACCCTTCCTGCAGGCTCATCCTGACATGACCCTCCAGCATGACAATGCCACCAGCCATACTGCTCATTCTGTGCGTGATTTCCTGCAAGACAGGAATGTCAGTGTTCTGCTATGGCCAGCGAAGAGCCCGGATCTCAATCCCATTGAGCACGTCTGGGACCTGTTGGATCGGAGGGTAAGGGCTAGGGCCATTCCCCCCAGAAATGTCTGGGAACTTGCAGGTGCCTTGGTGGAAGAGTGGGGTAACATCTCACAGCAAGAACTGGCAAATCTGGTGCAGTCCATGAGGAGGAGATGCACTGCAGTACTTAATGCAGCTGGTGGCCGCACCAGATACTGACTGTTACTTTTGATTTTGACCCCCCCTTTGTTCAGGGACACATTATTCAATTTCTGTTAGTCACATGTCTGTGGAACTTGTTCAGTTTATGTCTCAGTTGTTGAATCTTGTTATGTTCATACAAATATTTACATGTTAAGTTTGCTGAAAATAAAAGCAGTTGACAGTGAGAGGACGTTTCTTTTTTTGCTGAGTTTAGATAAGCTATTTCAAGTATTTTGCTCTATGCCATCCGATCCGGAGCGCATTTTATTAACGGTAGAACAGATGATTGCAGGCTACTCCTGTACGTCTGAATACTGTGATTTCTAATTTCTAGAGTAGACAGTATTTCATTTGTAAACCTAATACATATTGTCATAACCTTTGCAGATTAAATTCTTCATATTTTCTGGCCATGTTGGGGCCATAGCCTACAACAAATTATTATGCACATCTCATTTAATTGGGCCTATTTTATAGGCTATTATTTCAAGTATTTTGCTCTATGAGTAAGATATGGAGCTTGGTTTATAACATAAAGTAGAATTTAACAGGTATTTTGCATTGAAGTGTGTATGGCTACCACTGTAAGTAGACAATGTTGCAGATTTTGCAGGCAGTACAGCATATAGGTTTGAGAAAAAGTCAATGCAAAACATTAGGCCCAAAGAAATTATCAAACGATCTGTTTACAGGTCCACAGCAATTTGCAATAGTTTTTGTCTTTCAGAAACATTTTGTCTGTCAGTTAGCCTAGGCCTACAGCAAATGTCACTGCAAAAGTTTAACAGTCTGCCATCAAACCTCCAAAGACATTTGATTAGGTTCGCCATTGCTATTTCCTTTAGAAACTGCCTTGGCCTAATTCCAATACTTCCAAAGTATACAGCAAATAGGGGCGTTAATGTCACCGTAAAAGGTGAATGATGGGTGTTTTTCAGGTGGAGTTATAATGCTCGTTCACGCACGCACAGTTTCAGGACGGGTCTGATTTATAACGGGAAACATGCGTATGTATATCGTGAGCCAATTTTTTAAATCTCTATTTTTGTACGTACGCAGTGTTTTCAGAAATGGTGCACGCAGATATTTAGTGTTACATTTACGCAACAGTTATAAATGAGGCCCCAGGTCACTGGCTGTCTCATCGTCCCCGGTGATCAGGCCTACCACTATCATGTCGTCAGCAAACTTGATGATGGTGTTGGAGTCATGCGTGGGTAAACGGAGTACAGGAGGGGGGGCGCAATTGAGATTTGAAATGAATTGTCTGTATGTGTCTTTATCTATGTGTGCGTCCCTAGGCTGAACAGCAGTGATAAGGATGGGGAGCCCATGTACATCCAGATGGTCACAGCTCTGGTGCTTCAGCTTATCCAGTGTGTGGTGCACCTCCCCAACAACAGGGACAGCCACGAGGAGTACGATAAGAAGGTATGTTAGGGATGGCCATGCTGACTGGGCTAGGAATCATCTGATGGACATCTTGGCCAAAGAGTTCAGGACTTTTTTTTATTCACAATTGCTCGTGCTTTTCCCAGGTGGACCAAGATGTCCTGATCACCAACTCTTATGAGACGGCCATGCGAGCAGCTCAGAACTTCCTGTCCGTCTTCCTAAAGAAGTAAGATGATCTCTCTAAACAGCCTTTCATTCTTCTCACAATCAAACTAGATTAGAACTGTTATTAGAAAATGGTGTAAGATATCTGTTTATGAAACTGTAAGCTCTTTGACCAAACCTCTGTGTTCCTCTGTCTGTGTTTCAGGTGTGGCAGTAAGCAGGGAGAGGAGGACTACCGCCCTCTGTTTGAAAACTTTGTCCAGGACCTGCTGTCTACGGTGAACAAACCAGAGTGGCCAGCTGCTGAGCTTCTCCTCAGTCTGCTGGGTCGTCTACTGGTGAGTCCATCCATCATAGCTAAATCAATCAGTTATTGGCCAGCTGTTGAGCTATTGATAAAAGCACATGGGACTTATTTGCTGTTTTGGAAAGAAAAATCAGCCTGAATGACACTCTTCACCCTATCCTCTGTTCCAGGTGCACCAGTTTAGCAATAAGCAGACAGAGATGGCTCTGAGGGTGGCATCGCTAGACTACCTGGGGACCGTCGCTGCCCGCCTGCGCAAAGATGCCGTCACCAGCAAGATGGACCAGCGCTCCATCGACCGCATCCTCAGAGAGGTAGCTAGGCGTTTAGTCTGACCATAACAATGCTCAACCACATCCTCAAAGTCAACTGTCATTCAAGATATACCCAGCAAAATGCTAACACAATGTTGTTGCTGTTTTGTCATCAACCCAGACTCAAGGCAATGATGAGACCCAGCAGCTGCAGAAGGCCCTGTTGGACTACATGGATGAGAACGCAGAGACGGATCCGTCTCTAGTTGTGAGTGTATTTACTGCACATACCGTAGTTATAGCTACCCATTATTCAGTGGTGTAAAGTACTTAGCCAAGTAAAAATACTTTAAAGTACAACTTTTTTGGGGTATCTGTACTTTACTTTACTATTTATATTTTTGACTACTTTTACTTTACTACATTCCTAAAGAAAATAGTGTACTTTTTACTCCATACATTTTCTCTGACACCCAAAAGTACTCGTTACATTTTGAATGCTTAGCAGGACAGGAAAATGGTCCATTCACACACTTATCAAGAGATCTCTGGTCATCCCTACTGCCTCTGATCTGGCAGACTCACTAAACAGGCATGCTTTGTTTGTAAATGATGTAAATGAGTGTTGGAACGTGCCCCTGGCTATCCGTACATTTTAAAAACAAGAAAATGGTGCCGTATGGTTTGCTTAATATAATGAATTATAAATTATTTATACTTTTACTTTTGATACCTAAATATATTTTAGCAACTTAATTTACATGTGATACTTAACCTATATTTAAAACCAAATACTTCTAGACTATTACTCAAGTAATATTTTATTGGGTGACTTTTACTTGAGTCATTTTCTATTAAGGTATCTTTACTTTTACTCAAGTATGACAATTGAGTACTTTTTCCACCACTGCTATTATTCACATATCAGGTTTGAGATGTAACTGTTGATTTCTGCTGCTGCCTTCAGTTTGCCAGGAAGTTCTACATCGCTCAGTGGTTCAGGGACACTTTGACAGAGATGGAGAAGGCCATGAAGTCTCAGAACCAGCGAGGGGATGAGGACTCTTCTGAAGGCCAGCACCACGCCAAGGACATCGAGACCACCGGAGAGATCATGCAGAGAGCCGAGGCACGCAAGAAGTACCTCCGCAACATCATCAAGACCGCGCCCTCGCAGTTCAGCACACTGAGGTAGGACTCAACCCTCACTGTCCCACTGTCAGTACACATCACAGTACTGTCATGTGCTTCAACCTCAATGTTTGCCTGTGTCTATTTTTTTTTTTAAATGCATTATTCTCTTCCTCTCTTCCCCCACAGGATGAACTCTGACACTGTGGACTATGACGACTCCTGCCTGATTGTCAGATATTTGGCCTCTATGAGGCCGTTCGCGCAGAGCTTCGATATTTATTTAACACAGGTAAAAGCATGCAAGAGTGATTTGGTTAAGTTCCTTCATGTGTGTATTGTGAACCAGTGTGGTTAATTTGGTGCTCTGTGTGAATGGCTTGTAAATAATGGGTCCTTGTTCTCTCTCTCTCTCTCTCTCTCTCTCTCTCTTTATCTCTCTCTCTCTCTCTCTCTCCTCTTCAACAGATCTTGAGAGTGCTGGGGGAGAGTGCCATAGCTGTCAGAACTAAAGCCATGAAGTGTTTGTCTGAGGTGGTGGCTGTAGACCCCAGTATTCTGGCCAGGGTGAGTCTGCTCTACCCAACATTAAACCTGATCCACCTAAATATACTCAGAGCCTGTTTGTCTGTGCATAAGTGTCTCCTCAGTCCTCATCCTCTCCTCCTCTCATCAGTTGGACATGCAGCGCGGGGTCCATGGTCGTCTGATGGACAACTCCACCAGTGTACGCGAGGCTGCTGTGGAGCTGCTGGGACGCTTTGTGCTGAGCAGACCCCAGCTCACAGAGCAGTACTACGACATGCTGATTGAGAGGATACTGGTAACGAACACACACCATAATACACACCATAATACACACCTCAACAAGCAGGCTAACGCACATCTTTATACACAGACAGAGACACAGCGGGACACTCACCCTAAACACAGCTGTGAAGTGTCAGATAGGATAACATGCCTCAGAGCCCTTTCTGTGGGCTGTAGGAGAATGAGAAGGCATCAGCTCACACAGAGCAGTGAGTAATGGAACTGGGCCCATGTCGCTGGTCACCTAGCTGAGGGTTCATTCCAAGTGTAAAAGTTCACTTAAGGTAATATCCTTTTTTCCACACTGCCACCTATGGCTCTGCTGGAGAACTGCAGGCTCCTCAAATGAAAAACGAAGTCCAGATGAGCGGCTATCATTTCGGCTCTACTCAACAAGAGTTACTCCGATTATCATTTTGTTAATATGACATGATATATTTAATGTTTAACTTATTTTGGATAATATATATTATGATCGCTTGTAATATAATTTTGAAAATGCAGGGGTAAGTAACCCTGGAGTAAACAATGTGTAAATATGGTGGAAGTTGCATCTGGGTCCTGTGTGGCTCAGTTGATAGAGCATGGTGCTGACAACGCCATGGTTGTGGTTTGGATTCCCACGGGGGATCAGTACGAAAAAGTACAAAATTGTATACACTCAAGTCGCTATGGATAAGAGCGTCTGCTAAATGACTAAAATGTAAATGTATTCATTCTGCCCCTCTTTTTCCAGGACACGGGTATCAGTGTGAGGAAGAGGGTGATTAAGATTCTTAGAGACATCTGTCTGGAGCAACCCACCTTCAACAAGATCACTGAGATGTGTGTCAAGATGATCCGCAGGGTCAATGACGAGGAGGGCATCAAGGTCTGCATCTGTAAATGTCTGTGTTTCATGTGTGAATGGATATGTCACAGGGCTGCATAAAGTTACCTGTCTTTGTGTGCATATTTCAAAATGTTGCACCACGTTCTTCTTCAGAAACTTGTGAATGAGACCTTCCAGAAACTCTGGTTCACCCCTACACCCAATAACGATAAAGACGCCATGACCCGTAAAATCCTCAACATCACAGACGTGGTGAGTTCCAGGGCTCAAAGCTGAGCACAGAACTACCAAACAGACAAATACCTTTCCAATATACATCTCGGTCTGTGTCACTGTATTTGAGGCGTGACTGTTCAACATGTCTTGACCTGATGACATCATCTTTCTTAGGTGTCCGCATGCAAAGATACAGGCTATGACTGGTTTGAGCAGCTGCTTCAAAACGTGAGTATTTTGAATTGTGTCTTTGTATTTCATGGTAATAGTTGACCTGGAGTTTTGTTCCTAACTTTTTTTTTTTTGCATTGGCTCAGTTTCATTGATTGTCACATTTAGGCCTATTTATGGTTAATGAGAGTATCAAGCACAGGAAGTAATAGTGTTTACTTCAGGTTGTCCTTGAGACGTCTGTACTGTGACTTATTTGTCAGTTTTCTCTAATGAGAGCTGTTGCAAATGAGTTCAAGACAGACCTGTTATGTTGTGTGCCTCATCTCACAACCTCCCCGTACTCTATCTCTGTTCAGCTGCTGAAGACCGAGGAAGATGCCGCATATAAGCCAGCCAGAAAGGCCTGCGTTCAGCTGGTGGACAATCTAGTGGAACACATCCTCAAATATGAAGAGTCTCTCACTGGTATGGAGCTCACAGCTATCTTTGGTGTACTTGATTTCAAATTGCCATTTATACTGACACATTAATGTACTGTTGATTAGGATATGATAAACTCTCATGGACTGTGAGAAAGAAAGTCCAGTTGAGTCTGAAGGAATGATCTGTGTTTCTGTTGGTGTTTCAGACATTGAGAACAAGGGGGTGAACTCCAACCGTCTGGTGTCCTGCATCACCACCCTCTTTCTGTTCAGTAAAATCCGATCCCAGCTAATGGTCAAACATGCCATGACCATCCAGCCTTATCTCACCACCAAGTGCAACGTAAGGACACGGCAAACTTTCTCTCCTCAATTTGTAGATATGTACTGTAGTTATTGTGATGTTTTTTTATAAAAGAAGGAATTGAATATTGAGCCAGGTGTAAGAAAGTTCAAGGGACAAAAAGTGTCCACTTGATTTTACATAGAATTCTAGGGCCATCTAGTGGTTGATCATTGTCGGTACAAGTTGTATACAACAACGTGACCAACGGGGTCAAACTGTGTCTCACAACATAGAAATCTCTCTGGCTGTATCAATATGGATTTCTCTTGTGTTTCCAGACCCAGAGTGACTTCATGGTGATCTGTAACGTGGCCAAGATCCTGGAGCTGGTGATACCTCTGATGGAGCACCCCTCTGAGACCTTCCTCACCACCATAGAGGAAGACCTGATGAAGCTCATCATCAAATACGGCATGACAGTAAGTCTCTAGTAAAGGCTACAGCGTGTACCCAGGTTCAATACTAAAATAACCGCGAAGGAACAAATAAAAGGAGTTAAAATGCTGTTTTTAGTTATTCTGTAATCTTGTTTCTCAGGTTGTGCAACACTGTGTGAGCTGTCTTGGAGCTGTGGTGAACAGGGTCACTCGCAACTACAAGTTTGTTTGGGCTTGTTTCAACCGTTACTATGGTGCCCTGACCAAGCTGAAGACCCAGCACTCTGAGGACTCCAACAACCCTGTTCTGGCTGCTAACAAACCGGCCTTGCTGCGCTCGCTGTTCACTGTGGGGGCACTCTGTCGCCACTTTGACTTTGACGAGGAGGAATTCAAGGGCCCCACAAAGGTCGGTCCAGGAAGACTCATTTTTCTTAACATTGTTGTGACCAACTTTTTTTAATTTTTATATACAATACTTTTATGAAAGACAGGAATAAGAACTTGATGTTGCTTTTCCCTTTGTGTGTTGTAGGTTGTGATAAAGGACAAAGTGATGGAGCTTCTGCTGTACTTCACTAAGCATGAAGATGAGGAAGTCCAGACCAAGGCCATCATTGGTCTAGGTAAAGTTCAGCTCACCCTACCACAGACCATGTGTTGCTCTAACAATGACCCTTCTGTATTGCAGCACCTTTCAAACTTCTGTTATCCACCACCAATGGCTTGTTTCCCTGGTCCCTCAGTGCTTGTGCTGATATTCCTCTTTCTTCCTATTCTCTGTTCTCCAGGCTTCCAGTTCATCCAATACCCAGGGCTGATGTTCATGCAGGATGTGATGAGTCTGTACAACGGCATCCTGTCGGACAGGAAGAGCTCTGTCAACCTGAAGATCCAGGTGCTGAAGAACCTGCAGACATACCTGCAGGAGGAAGACTCGCGCATGCAGGAGGCCGACCAACATTGTGAGTCTCGCCTCTGTGTCCATTCAATATAATATATATGCTATTTACTTATCCAAAGTGACTTACAAAATGGAGTGCATACATTTTTGTATTGGTGGCCCTAGCTCATTTATTCATATCAATACAGGTAGAAAAGAACTCCACACAAGCACAGCAATATCTTCAAGTTGATAGAATGGGGCTAAGGATATTGGGTGTGTTAGTTAGGGCATGCCTCCATGATGTTGTTGTCTAGTGGTTAGTTTCCTAAATGGCTCTTGTCTTTGTGCGTCTGCAGGGAAGAAGCTGTCGAAGCAGGAGGACCTGAAGGAGATGGGGGACATCTCATCAGGTATGAGCAGCTCCATCATGCAGCTGTACCTGAAGCAGGTGCTGGAGGCCTTCTTCCATACACAGTCCAACGTACGACACTTTGCCCTCAACGTCATCGCCCTGACGCTCAACCAGGGCCTCATCCATCCTGTACAGGTATGCTTCCACCTCAGACACTTAGACAGTACACACCACTGGGCTACTCTTCTCAGACAAGGCATGCATAAACTCTGGTCAGGTAAAGAATTAGAAAAGGCTCTGGCCTAGGGGTGGTGTAGTGGTCTAGGCCGCTGCCTCCGATGCACATCACCAGGCGGTAAATTAGTTAATAGACCAATAAGAAAGCGTTCTAAATCTCTCTGCCAATAACAGCTAGTTTTAACTGTCCACTCAGACCACTCCCAGACAGTCCTAGCTAAATTCTTGCTTGAAAAATAGCTTCTTTGTTAAGATTTTTATTTTTTGACCATTTGAATTGAAAACAATCACAGTAGGGTACTAAATTGTTACCCCAGAAATGATTTGATATTGAGATAAAAACGGTTGCATTGGACCTTTTAATAGGTGTAACTACACATAATGCTGTGCACAGGGTTTTTACTTAATTTGGCACTGGAATAAATACAGTGGAGGAAAAAAGTATTTAGTCAGCCACCAATTGTGCAAGTTCTCCCACTTAAAAAGATGAGAGAGGCCTGTAATTTTCATCATAGGTACACATCAACTATGACAGACAAAATGAGAAAAAAAAATCCAGAAAATCACATTGTAGGATTTTTAATGAATTTATTTGCAAATTATGGTGGAAAATAAGTATTTGGTCAATAACAAAAGTTTCTCAATACTTTGTTATATACCCTTTGTTGACAATGACACAGGTCAAACGTTTTCTGTAAGTCTTCACAAGGTTTTCACACACTGTTGCTGGTATTGTGATGCAGTGGTCTAAGGCACTGCATCGCAGTGCTAACTGTGCCACTAGAGATCCTGGTTCGAATCCAGGCTCTGTCGCAGCCGGCCGCGACCGGGAGACTCACAATTGGCCCAGCGTCGTCCAGGGTAGGGGAGGGAATGGCCGGCAGGGATGTAGCTCAGTTGATAGAGCATGGCGTTTGCAACGCCAGGGTTGTGGGTTCGATTCCCACGGGGGGCCAGTATAAAAAAATATGTATTCACTAACTGTAAGTCGCTCTGGATAAGAGCGTCTGCTAAATGACTAAAATGTCAAATGTAATTTTGGCCCATCCTCCATGCAGATCTCCTAGAGCAGTGATGTTTTGGGGCTGTCGCTGGGCAACACAGACTTTCAACTCCCTCCAAAGATTTTCTATGGGGTTGAGATCTGGAGACTGGCTAGGCCACTCCAGGACCTTGAAATGCTTCTTACAAAGCCTCTCCTTCGTTGCCCGGGTGGTGTGTTTGGGATCATTGTCATGCTGAAAGACCCAGCCACGTTTCATCTTCAATGCCCTTGCTGATGGAAGGAGGTTTTCACTCTAAATCTCGATACATTCATTTTCCTTTACACGGATCAGTCGTCCTGGTCCCTTTGCAGAAAAACAGCCCCAAAGCATGATGTTTCCACCCCCATGCTTCACAGTAGGTATGGTGTTCTTTGGATGCAACTCAGCATTCTTTGTCCTCCAAACACGACGAGTTGAGTTTTTTGGTATTTTGATTTCATCTGACCATATGACATTCTCCCAATCCTCTTCTGGATCATCCAAATGCACTCTAGCAAACTTCAGACGGGCCTGGACATGTACTGGCTTAAGCAGGGGGACACGTCTGGCACTGCAGGATTTGAGTCCCTGGCGGCGTAGTGTGTTACTGATGGTAGGCTTTGTTACTTTGGTCCCAGCTCTCTGCAGGTCATTCACTAGGTCCCCCCGTGTGGTTCTGGGATTTTTGCTCACCGTTCTTGTGATCATTTTGACCCCACGGGGTGAGATCTTGCGTGGAGCCCCAGATCGAGGGAGATTATCAGTGGTCTTGTATGTCTTCCATTTCATAATAATTGCTCCCACAGTTGATTTCTTCAAACCAAGCTGCTTACCTATTGCAGATTCAGTCTTCCCAGCCTGGTGCAGGACTACAATTTTGTTTCTGGTGTCCTTTGACAGCTCTTTGGTCTTGGCCATAGTGGAGTTTGGAGTGTGACTGTTTGAGGTTGTGGACAGGTGTCTTTTATACTGATAACAAGTTCAAACAGGTGCCATTAATACAGGTAACGAGTGGAGGACAGGGAAGGGTTACAGGTCTGTGAGAGCCAGAAATCTTGCTTGTTTGTAGGTGACCAAATACTTATTTTCCACCATAATTTGCAAATAAATTCATAAAAAATCCTACAATGTGATTTTCTGGAGAAAAAAAATCTCAATTTGTCTGTCATAGTTGACGTGTACCTATGATGAAAATTACAGGCCTCTCATCTTTTAAGTGGGAGAACTTGCACAATTGGTGGCTGACTAAATACTTTTTTCCCCCACTGTAAGTGTTATTATTATGGGTTAAGTACCAGTATACAACCACATGTTTCCACAGCTTTGTAATCCCTCTTGACCCAACCTCCTGTTTTGTTTCAGTGTGTGCCCTACCTGATTGCCATGGGAACGGACCCAGAGCCCACCATGAGGAACAAGGCTGACCAGCAGCTGGTGGAGATTGATAAGAAATACAGCGGCTTCATCCATGTGAGTGTTTCTGTCTGTAGGCTGGTCTTAGGGTAGGAAGAGTAGTCTGGCCTCTCAACAGGCTGGTAATGTGATCATCTATTGTACAGTATGTTATCAATGTATTTAACGTGTTTGGTTGTGTGTGTGTGTGTCCAGATGAAGGCCGTGGCGGGGATGAAGATGTCCTACCAGGTGCAGCAGGCTATCTGGTCAGCTAAAGGTACGGTGATCCGGGGTTACCGGCAGGACGAGACCACCTCCGCCCTCTGTGCCCACCTCTTCTCCATGGTCCGATCCAACCGGCAGCACCGACGAGCCTTCATCATCTCACTGCTCAACCTGTTTGATGACAGCTCGGTGAGTCCCTCCTTCCCCCTAGACACGCACTGAGAATAATCAGTATTATAGCAGTAAACATTAATATACAATCCTTATTTTTATAGACAAAATGAACCGTTTGGTTGTAATTGTGACTTTCCCCCTGCAGAAGATGGAGGTCAACATGCTCCTGTACATGGCAGACAACCTAGCCTGTTTCCCCTACCAGATCCAGGAAGAGCCTCTCTTTATCATGCACCACATTGACATCACCCTGTCTGTGTCCGGCAGCAACCTGCTGCAGTCCTTCAAGGAGGTAGGTGATACACACGTCACTATGTAGTGTCTGTCAACGTCACTATGTAGTGTCTGTCAGCAGCCTTGCCATAGTACTTCAAAGATCACACGTATCCACAAGTGCTCAGGCTCGTGAAAACACTACCTATAATGTGACTTTTATAGACTTTTACAAGCTGTTGTGGGTTTTATATCCTATAACAATCCCCAACAATAGTAATTCACAACCTAACAAAGGCTGACTCACTCCTCTGTTCTCTCTGCAGTCTCTTCTCAAAGAGCCAAGGCGGCGGGAGAAGAAGCCGAAAGAGAGGAAGTACCAGTCAGAGGAGGAGAACTCGTCGTCGTCATCGGAGGAGGAACGTCACCGTCCCAGCAGCAGCTCCAACAGTAGTGACGAGGACGACGAGGTGGTCCACAGGCCCAAGAAGGCCAAACACCGGGCCCATGCCCCCGTGGAGTCAGACTCTGACTCTGACCTGGAGATGGAGGACTTGGACAAGGTGATGCAGCGTCTGCCTGACAACCCCATCCCCCTGTTGGACTTTGCCAACGCCTCACAGGGAATACTACTACTGCTGGTTCTAAAGCAGCATCTCAAGAACCTCTACGGCTTCTCGGACAGGTACGTCAGTGCCAGGAGGAACACAACCACATAACATCTCACCTTACCGCCTCACTTGACATGAAAGACAGAGCTAGGAAGATCACAATATACTGATATGTCTTGTTTTTTTATGTTGCCATGACAATTTCTCAGTTAAAGTTGCACTATGCAGAAATCGCTCCGCCATTTCCTGGTTGCTAAAACTCTAGTAGTTCGCCTAATTTCAGTTTGTGACAAAATAAGCTAGTATAGTGTAGAGAATCATTGTACCATCCAAAGCGCTGTGAAATATATTTTCCATAACAAAAAATATTGTTGTTTCAGCTGTTTGAAGCTGGTGTACAAAAACTGAAAGTAAAAGATGCAAAAACAAAACTTAAGAACGGGAAGCATAGAAATAGTGCACATAGAACAGATCTACCGCTTCTTTACTTGCTTTCAATTAGAATGATAGATCTATAACTGACATTTCTATGTTAATTTGGTCAGGTCGCACAAAAAGTTACATATTGACACTTTAATGAAGAAATAACCTAAACTCAACTTCTTCCTCCACCCACTGTAGTAAAATCCAAAAGTACTCTCCGACGGAATCGGCCAAGGTGTACGAGAAGGCAGTGAACAGGAAGGGTCACGTGCACTTCAGCCCTCACCAAACACTGGACTTCCTGACCTCTGACCTGGCCAACGTAGAACTCACCTACGACATCAAGAGGAGGATCGTCAAACAGTACCTAGATGTAAGAGCTCACTCTCACTCTGACCACATTTCCTTTTTTCTGAAAGTCTTGAGACGTTTAGTTTTGGGTCCTATAATGGAGTTCAGGAAAATTGGGATTGGAATTTCCAATTTACTTCCTGAATTTAAACGGAATTGAAACCAGATGGAGTTCCTTTTTGTACTTTGTAAAAAGGTGTATGCAGAAAGGTGAACTAGCATTGTCTGAGCACAGCAGACTGGTTAACATTCTGGTCTCTCTCAGTTCAAGTTACTGATGGAGCATTTGGACCCTGATGAAGAGGATGAGGAAGGTGAGGCGTCGGCCAGCGCCAACGCCAGAAACAAAGCCATCACTTCATTGCTGGGAGGGCCCAGCCACCAGGACCACAAGAACCACCACCAGGACCAGAAGAACCACCACCAGGCTCCTATAGAGACGGACGACGACGAGAGTGACGGAGATGAGAAAACCCCAGTGGTGAGCCCTGAGCAGCCTATTATTGCACTGTCATACAGCTGTTATTGTCCCTGTTAATGATGTCTTAGAAGACTGATGACTGCCATGTTGGCTACATAAACCTATGGACTCTCTATGTGAGTTGTAACACTGCTGTTTCTCTCCCCAGTCATCACGACGGTCCAGGAAGCACGGCGACTCTGCAGAGGCATCAGGTCACATGAACGAGACGTTGGCTGCCAGGGATGTCATCGCCCTCTGCTGCCCCAAGTACAAGGACCGGCCGCAGATTGCCCGCGTCATCCAGAAGACCAACACGGGCTACAGAGTGCAATGGATGGCTGGCTCCTACTCTGGAGTCTGGGGCGAGGCTAAGAAACGGGACGGACGCAAAACGGTGCCTTGGGTGGACACTATCAAGGAGTCTGACATTATTTACAAGAAAATCGCCTTGACGAGTGCACACAAGCTGACGAACAGAGTGGTGCAGACTTTACGGTCACTGTACTCAGCGAAGGAGGGAACTTCCTAATCGACTATACGGTTATTCTCAGACAGACAAACTCTTTGCAGCCAAACTCTACTATGGGGATACAACGTTTTTCTAATACAGAAAATACAAATATACTACAGACATGCAAAACATAAATGTAAGCACGAGATAGCAGAGAGAGAGGAGAGCAGGTATTGTGAACTTTTGGTCTGTGATGAACATTTTAATCTGGATCCAGGATATGTTTAAGTTAAACAGAAAAAACACCAGAAGGAAATGTTTGGATAACATTGCGTGGAAGCTCCTTCGCTGTTGTGCAGCAACTCGGTTGTTTGATTTTCCCACTGTATCAAAGTTTAACACACAAAAAAAACGACAATGTTTATCTCTGACAAAAATTCTGTTTAAAAAAAATAAACAAAGTGAATGTTGGAAATTAGTCTGTTAATGTTCTAAATAAAGTGTTCTTGGAGTTTAACCTAGCACCGGTTGGATTTCTTTAGCTTAGCTCAGTTTCCAGGGAAGCTACTTTTAAAACCTTTACCTTTTCTTTTATGTTTTATTCCCTTTATTTGTTTACCCATGCTGTACAATGGAGTCTCTTGGATATAATTTATTCTGTTGAAAGCGAAGCGTGCAGTATCTGTGGCCTACATGCAGGGGAGTTTTTTGTAAATGTAGAATTTGATGTATTAGGTCAAAGGTCACCCGAGAGAGAAAAGGGATCCCCAGCACTTCTGGCGGAGCAAATATTGCAATAAATATTTTTTACTTCTCTTTGTTACTTGTCTCGTTTGCAATTGACTTTATTTTATTTTTTAATGGGGATGGTGCGCCACCATGCGGTATCTCTTGTCAACTTGTAATTTGTTTGTAATTTTTGTTTTATTTTTAGCTGTAAGACGTGGAAGGTCAAGGATGATGGTAAAGGCCACAGTATTTTGAATCCCTAGTAGTAGAATTGCAATATGGTCCATTTTGTCTTAGGTTGAATGTGGTAGTTTAGGAATCCACCATGTTTGATTATCTAGGTGCCTGCAACTCAGAAAAATCTAAAATCCATGACTCATCAACTCCGTTTCAGAGAGGGCCTTGCAAAATGCAGGGGTGAATCCCTCTGGTATCTTGTTTCTGTATGCCACTGCCAGTTTCTGTCATGAACTGGATTGAGTAAGGTAAAACCAGGTACTGTATGAACTTGATGGAGGAAATACACAAGGAAAAAAAAAAAATCCAAAAAATTGACATATGTGGTTCTAGCCCCACGGTGCCATAAATAAATGGGTTTATGGTGCATCTGTCGGATGCTAAAGACCAATATGGCTAGCTGCCATTTTGGTTTCAGGTTTAAACAAGGTCCTCGGACTAACTCAGTACCAGGAAAGGAGAGGCGTTCTGACATTTGACACACGAGCTGCACCAGAGATACTGTATATAATGACAAGATGGTCTCCCCTTTAACAATGGCAGTTGTCACAAAGGCGGGAAGGCAGGCGGTCTGCTTATTTGTCTGCTTATTGATGTATTCCCACGTGGACAGATTTTGACGGGAGTGGACCCTCTTGCCACAGAACAATGAGCCAGATGTTTCACCGGAAGTATAAATCAGAAGCATCTGGTTGGCATTTCCACTCACCACCAAATAAGATGAGGAAGCCCAGTGGCCGGCAGTGGGAGAAGATGAGCGACATTTATTTTGGCTGAAATTCTGCTAATTTTGTCATCAATTAAACATTTGATCTCAATACAGTTTTCTCTTCCCAAAACTAGAATCTGTTACGAACAGAGTGGACTATGTTTTGTATACTCTACCCTTTGCCAAAGTTTCCAAAAAATCGCGTTGTTTAGAAGGTGTGCAAGGGCGAATTGCGTTATTCCGCACGCACAAGTCACATAGTAGGCGTTCCCTAACGGAAATATTCAAATACATGCTAGAATGTGCCAATTCTCGCTAGCTTGTGCTTGGCTCTACCCACTTCCTTGCTTGTTCTGCCCACTATGATTTATTTGCTCCAATTGGAAACGACAGGCTGTGGTCTATCTTGGGTAGGTTAAAAATCTTTGCTCTCGTTTCGCCTGTTTCACTCTGGCTGCACATTATTGACAATGTACATAATTATAGCTACAACTCTAGCACCACTTAGTGGACAGAACTAGACATTACAGTGTCAGTGATGCTATAGAGATTATGTCGCGTTAATCTGCGGAACGAAAAAAATTTTTAAAAAAATAAAAGAAGAAAGAAAACGCTATTCGGTTAAAGATCGTTGTAGAAATTCGCCTTTAAGGGTATAGAGCTCGCCAGTTTGTAGTAATAAAAACCGGAAATGAGTTACCTCCGTTCAGCCATTCCAATGGGGAAAATGAATGGGGAAAGAACACTGAGGTATAGGAAAATAATAGGGTTTTGGGATAAACGCCGAAAATAAGTTCTGAGGTTAACACAGGCTTAGGAGATCTTATACGTTGTGTTATATGAGCTAATATCAGTCAGTTAACATGAACTTCATGAATTATCTAGCCTTTGTGCTTTCTGTGCTTTTTTGATTACATGAATACTTAAAAAATCACAAAAAGTGACGTTAGCGGATGAATATTATATCATAGAACAAAACGTATAGGATCTCCTTAGCATGTGTTTACCACAGACATTATTTTCGTTTTTATTTATTCATCTAAAAACCTTACAAAAAGGCCAACGAATCATTACGGATTTTTTGCCTACAAAAAGATGCCATTACTAATTCTCGCTTGAACCTACACCGGAAGTACTTCCTATAACCTTTCACACCTCGATCTGTTCAAAAGTGGCATGAGGCTGGCGGGCTAGCAGCAACGTTTGTTTACACTGAAGACTACTGGATCATATTTTGCTTTCTATAGGGTAAGATTACATTTTGTTGCGAGTATGAAAAGTAGGGAACGTTATTCAATAAATCTCATTAGTTACCAAGCTAGCTAGCATACATAGCAATTAGCCCGCGTTTTTAGCTAGCTTACCAAGAGGTGCTAGTGTCTTGCCTATTAACCTACTAGCTATTTACCTAGCCGGTTCATATAAAAACATCTCGTTACATAGTTTTCACAAGTTTGCCACCAAACGAACTTGTATAACTTCCAACCGATTTATTTTGATAAACAGAAAAGTGTTGTTGTTGCTTTAGTTAGCTAGCTAACGTTACTGAATCACTGTCTGCAGACAGTCCGTAGAGACGAGTTTGGACTAACTCTAGTTTGTCCTTGTAATATGGATATCTTCCAAGTTGAGTAAACTCAGCCTTTCCAAACCTAGCTAACTGGGGCTAGCTAGTTGGCTATGGAATCAGCCTAGCCAAGTTCCAGAATGGGGTGAAAATGGCAGCCATTGGTCAGAGAGAAATCTAAACCGGTTTAATTGGAATGAATGGCAGTAGAGCCGGATGTGATGCATTTCCTATTTTTACTTATGCATGAAAATAAAAGTAAGGCATGTGATGGATCAGAAATTGTGTAATATAATTATTATCAACCTAAAATATTGTCATAGAATTATAGTTTACACAGGTTTTATACAAATGTTCTGTATAAATAGCCTCTAAAATATATGTAAACAGACCATAAATGTCTCAATGTTTGTTTTCTTGGAAAGTTATGAGCGTTATAATATGATACAATATCAGTACTTGTTGCATTTACAACTTTTCAAAGTCCTATCAACTAATTTCTGCCAGTGTATGGCTGTGGATTGACTGCATTGTTTGTATGGAATGTTGGTGTATTGGTAGCTATTAAAAAGATTGCCTGGTAAGACCATTACGCTGTTCCAGGTGACTGATGGGCGTTATTATACTGAACAAAAATATTAACGCAAAATGCAACAATTTCAAAGATTTTACTGAGTTATATAAGGACGTTTCAAATAATAAAATCAGTCAATTGAAATCAATTCATTAGGCCCTAATCTATGGATTTCACATGACTGTGAATACAGATATTCATCTATTGGTCACATATACCTTTTGGAAAAAGAAAAAAAAAGTAGGGGCGTGGATCAGAAAACCAGTCAGTATCTGGTGTGACCACCATTTGCCTCATACAGCGCTTCACATCTCCTTAGCATAGAGTTGATCAGGCTGTTGATTGTGGCCTGTGGAATGTTGTCCCACTCCTCTTCAATGGCTGTGCTAAGTTGCTGGATGTTGGTGGGAACTAGAACATGCTGTTGTTCACTGCGATCCAGAGCATCCCAAACATGCTCTATGGGTGACATGTCTGGTGAGTATGCAGGCCATGGAAGAACTGAGACAATTTCAGCTTCCAGGAATTGTGTACAGATCCTTGCGACATGGGGCCCTGCATTATCATGCTGAAACATGAGGTGATGGTGGCAGATGAATGGCACGACAATGGGCCTCAGGATCTCATCACGGTATCTCTGTGCTTTCAAATTGCCATCGATAAAATGCAATTGTTTTCGTTGTCCGCAGCTTATGCCTGCCTGCCCATACCATAACCCCACCACCATGGGGTACTCTGTTCACAACGCTCGCACACACGACGTCTGCCATCGGCACGGGACAGTTGAAACCGGGATTAATCCGTGAAGATAACACTTCTCCAGTGTGCCAGTGGCCATCGAAGGTGAGCATTTTCCCACTGTAGTCGGTTACAACACCGAACTGCTGTCAGGTCAAGACCCTGGTGAGGACAACGAGCACGCAGATGAGCTTCCCTGAGACGGTTTCTCACAGTTTGTGCAGAAATTCTTCGGTTGTGCAAACCCACAGTTTCATCAGCTGTCTGGGTGGCTGGTCTCAGACAATCCCGCAGGTGAAGAAGCCGGATGTGGAGGTCCTGGGCTGGCGTTGGTTACATGTGGTCTGCGGTTGTGAGGCTGGTTGGACATACTCCCAAATTCTCTAAAACAAGGCTTATGGTAGAGAAATTAACATACAATTATTTGGCAACAGCTCTGGTGGACATTCCTGCAGGTAGCATGCAAATTGCACGCTCCCTCAACTTGACATCTGTGGCATTGTGTTATGTGACAAAACTGCACA